TCGTCCGATCTCGGGGCCTTTAACCATTTCTACAGTTTGAACCCATGCGGAATATATGGCGATGAGCCCGTTGGGACTCCCAACTGAAACATCCACATAACTGGATATTATTCCACGAGCGAATCAGCCAAAACCACCTCGTACTTAGGCGATTCGCCTAAGCTTTTAGACCCAATCTCTATCGACTTTTTACAACAAAGCTGTCTGCGCTTTTTTCTCATTTAATCGCATCGCGGACGCCTTGGGTGCCAACTGGATTGTAGAAGTACTTAAATATGGTGACGTTAGCACAATTATCTGATTAAGAATTTATATCGCCCCCATGATATTTTCTTTAAGAAGCCAAATAATCGTAGCTGTGTGAACGGTCATGCTCCGAACTTAACACGTTCTTGTTGAAGCTTTTCTGTTACCTAAGGTAAGTTTCAGCGATGCCATCGAAAAAATTAGAACCGTTGAGCCCAGCCTCTGGTAGAAACCCAAAATCCTAACATCATACATTTTGGGCCCTAGCGTGTCTGGATTGTAGAAAAGTCAAATATGGTCTGATGTGTACTTAACATTGGGGGCGTGTATAAATACACGTACACTCCTGATGTATCCACAATACTTGAATGAAGTGCGATTTTTCATACTAAGGTACGGTACGGCGGACAGAAAGCGTATGTAACGGGGTTACACAAATGGTTGTGATGACCAGATGCATTGGTATGATGTTCACATAAAGAGATCAGTTTCACCGACAGGCGTACTTTTATACCACACATGCCAAACGATGATACTGAACCTTATCCATTACGGGTTGATTGCATCTATCGTAATTGGGTCTTCAAAGGAACGGCATAGTTCTGGCGTGGTACACCAGAAGAACCTTCGTGAGGACTATTCGATTAAAAAGCATCGTTTCAAGGTTAAATACGCAAGTGAGGTTCATCGTTGCTATGAATCAGTAAATATATTCAATTTCCGATTCGATCAGTTTCAGACACGTGTCTTTCTAAGACGTCTCTAGTTGTAAGACTTAAGTGTATGAGATAAGGCTAAGTACTATTGTGCATTAGCGCCACGTGATTCCTTGGAGTCGTAGTATTCTGAACCAGGAATAGACGCTGAAGTGCTTGTGTATACACTTAGAGTCAAGTCTCACCAAGTCTGCAAGACTTGAGACCCTTTAAGCTAATACCCGTTTAGTTTGACGTACTAGGAGACTATACGTATCGTTAGACGTCTTCCTCTGACAAAGGAGTAAGGACAGATTCGCATAAGGTGTCATGACTGCTGATGTAAGTGAAAGGCCTGAGGAAAAATTACTAACGCGGATGAAGCAAAGCGATCATGCACAAGATAGATCTAATAATTTCGCTGACCCCACAAAATATTGGTGAGGTGCATCAGCTTGCAATCGAAGAAGGTTACCAGGTGGAGTACGTTGAGAATACGAACAAGGCGATCGACTTGATAATTCACTATGTGTGAGCGGCTATCTAGACGAAGCCGATCCTTGTGGAGGCTGGGTCCGATCCGACGGCGACTACAATCATGCTAAGAAATCAAGTTATATGGGCAGCGTTTCGAGATTTATTGACAACGGTAAAACCGAACAGCTGGAAGGGATTGGTGGAGCTAGAGACCCAAGGACTCGGACATGGGACTTGGAGTAAAGATTCGGATGTTTCTTTCACGAATGATTTAATGATTTCATGGGAACCATTCACTATACGAGCTATTATCGTTCAGGAAGCGGTTGAGTTAGACTCCAGAAAAATCATAGAGTGGATCTTGGTCTATTTAATTAGGGTCCAGTTAAAAGTAAGACGCGGCATAGATGTCGACGAAAATTTTAGGACAATGCGACAGGGCTGATAAGGTATACAACGTCCAATATGTCAACGTTCTCATACCCAATTGAAAAAAATTTCAACCGAAAGAAAGATGTTACTAAAATATCTGAAAGAACAAAACCGATGCTAGCAGGAAATTTATGTGAGATGATTTGAAAGACATTCAGTTCACTTATGGTCCATTCGGATGGGGCAACCTGGGACAGGTAAAGACAGCTACGGTGATTCGAATAACTTGATAATGGACGTTTCCGTACAAGTACGCTTGATTCGGAAATAGCAATTTTTGAACGGGTCAGGCTAGTTATAGTGATTGAAGAGAAAGAATTGCAAGTACTAAGTAGATATTGAAAGTAGTTGTAAATGATGGAGACTTATTATGTACGCAAAATTTCGATCGGGATAATATCGTAAAGATGATGAACGTCGATCTAGATATTGCAATGGTAAGTCTTTTAGAGATTCGATTTGAGCACCGAATCGTCCATGTATCCCCGCAACGATGAAAAAGTAGATGACGAGTCGGCCTGGTAATAATGAATGTACTTCAGTGAATGTTTATGATGTATTAATCTAAGAGGTCGCCGAGATAGAGTCAGCAGAAAGCGTCCAAGGCAACAACACAAAGCGTATTTTAACGTTCGGGTTTTTGCTCGATATTTCGATACAAAACATGTACCTTGGATTAATTATCGATTTTCGAATACACTACGAATATCTTAATATTTTTTATCTATATCTATAAAATATAGACTGAATAGCGCATTGAGTGTCATTGCTAGAGTAAAAACTACCAAATTGGACAAGGGTTCAAGATGACGACCTGGCTAAACTTGGTATCAGTTTGAATACTTATTCTCAGAAGAGGGGAGGCACAGTGACAATTTACATCTTTTTTATCTATTGTTTGTAAAAAGACTTGTACTTTACTCTTGCTGCAACGACACGCGTCCCTGTTTTCTTGACAAGGTACATTTGGCTTCATGGCGGCTGAAGGATTACTCGTTTCAAGGAACCGAAAACTGATCTTAAAAAGTCAGGCCAGCATCGCGAAGATCTACCCTGAATCTTTTGGCCCAATTAGCCCAAGTTCTCACGGTAGGACTTCTGAGATTGTAAGCAGCGAAGGAGGAAAAGACAGGGAGATTAGGATCGACCAGCCTATCTTATAAAAAGTGATCTGAAGTTTTAAATAAATTTGTAGGTGAGATCAAGTGTACAATGAAGAAAGAGATTAGATTAAGTAGGATCAATAGACTGCAACGAGACAAAGATTCTTTAGATCAGATCGGATCGATCATAAGTTCGATCGACACAAGAGCACACCGATCGCTATGGAAATATTTACATATTGATCAATTATAGGTCCCAAAATTTGATCGGTTTCGACATCTCTTATGGTCGCGACAAAGACATCAGTCCAGATTCATCAACGAGTAAACAGGGTGAGCACAAGGCTATGCAACAAGGCACTAATCAGAGTATTTTCTTCGTTAGTAGGCATGTCTGGGCCAGTAAGAATTCAAGGCTAACATCACGAATTATATACGATCGACTCCACCACATCGTGGCACCCTTTTTCACCTGAAGCTTCTCCGCATACCGCTCAACGAGTTGATCAAAGCATCAACTGGAATGATTACTCCTTGCCTCGGGGAAATCCGAATGGTTTCAGGCTTATCGAAGTCCTTGACATTGGCTAACGCTGCCATGAAGCCTGGATTGTATTCCCGCTCCGTGTAATCGTGCACAAAGCTATTCTAAGATAAGATTTGCACCTATCCCAGGGAACTCTAACACCGAGTAATGTCACAACAGGGCGCCCCGCGCCTTCAAGGAATCAAATTTAGACGCAAATTACCAGGCTTTTAGTTAGCGAAGGGGGAGCACCTCGAAGAAGCCTGTCGTGCCTTACGTAAAAGGCAATTAATTCACAGATGTTGTGTGCTTCCATAATTGAAACATAGGCTGTTAGCAATATTTTGTTCTACAGCTTGAATCTCTGCTGATTATTCCTTCTCGGCGATACTGATGCACATGGGCACTGACCAATTAGATGTAAAATTGTCGATGTATTAAAATTTTCCTTGTGGGTGCCATAACGGACTGGTTATAGCTAATATCACTGCTCGACGCTGCCTCTTGGGCTGTCTCGAAGGATGTAGTGTGGACCCAGAACAATTACGTTGCGGAAATGCCATTATGAAGACCCTCCAAGAAGATGGCAAGTAGAATAATGTTTGGTAAAGTGATACGATGAAAGACAGTTACCAGCTTTTGAACTCATGAAGATTCTTGAAAAAAATCTTTGTTCTGTTAAAAAGAAGATAGTATCCAAGAAAGGACACGACAATCCTGACTAAACAAGGAGAAATTTTCTGCACACTTGATGATTCAGCATATTCCATGTGAGAAAAGCTTTTTCACAGTCGTGTTTCACGTAAAACCTCACTTTTTGGCTCGACCGAACTAGTCTGCGATGGCAAGAGCAGCACGCTGTTGATCCGATTAAAGAAACGAATGGTGTTATGTGCGTTTCACTTCGATTACCCTAAAGTGGTTATTCTTTCCACCTTTTCAATTAGCGTCCTGATAATCACCCTGAGTGGACGCTCCTTGGGCTCTTCTTACGGTATTAGAACAAATTGAGTAGGCATAGCAGATGTTAAAGCTGTATACCTGTCCGATTAAAGTAGACTCAAATTGCACGAAGGCATCAAGCTGTGCACGAACCTTTTCTGGACCTGACGCCCGATTTAGATTCACTTGTCTCTTTTTTTGAAGACATTACAGTCATTTAGAGAAACTAACGACCCGAAAATGCCCGTCCGGTAGGGGCCTACACATCCCCAGCCGCTGTGCTAACTTCCAATAGTGTTAGCAAAAACAACCTAAGGTTGCTTACCGAGGGTCGTCCCCCTGTCTATCGGCTTAACTTGCCGTATCCCATAGCGTGTCGTGCCAGTGCCCCAGGTCGCTACGACCGCCCATTCGGGTGGCAACAGTGCCACCTCATGACCGAGAACCTGTGTGCTGCGTCCTGAATCAATCGCGATCTTTGCCATGGCGTTCGCCATCTTGTTAAAGTGTCGAAGGTGATGAGTCCACGTGGCCACGCCCAGCCGGTCCCCCACCAATCGACATTGCCTGTACAGATCTTTAGTTTGTTGAGCTTGGGGCGGCCTCCTGCACCGTAGCTGTCCAGGAATCAGGCACCTGTTCCAACGACGTGTAGGCGTTGTAGATGGTACCCCAACGCCTTAGAAGCCGGTCCATCCGAGATGGTGGGCCTCCGTTTGCCGCTTGTGCGGCCCCTCGACGTGTAGCGCGATCACCGATGTGACCGCAAGGCGTGGGGAACACCAACCCGTCGAAGTATCTCCCCGAGGGGCTCATCCAACTACGAAGGTGTCCCCCTTCGAGGTCGCGTGAGCGACCCCCAGGACGTGGACTATCCGTCCGCCGAAGCAGCACGCGTGGCGCGGGGCACGCCTCCATTCCGTAACCTTCCCCTTCCTGGCCGCTTGCGCGACCCGTCGGTCCACTGCCCCCACAACCTAGACTGCGAGTGCAGCGCGCTCGAGGCAATCTCCAGACCTCTTCGGCTCCCCGATGGGGAGGATTCCCTCCAAAGTGGCGGCCCCAAAGGGGGAAAGACTGGCTTGAGCTGAACCGTGAAAATTTGGGAATGAATCACTTGTCTTACTCTGAATAATATCTTTTTGCTTTTCAGGCATATTTTCCTGGCTCTAATATATATTTTTCTTTGTTTCACGGCGGATTATTCTTTGATCGACTCATGCGTAAATTGACTACAAGTGCCGCCATGTGTAGCGGATCTCATTAAGTCCTTTGTCGAAGGAAGAATTTTAATCTTGTAGAGTCTCTTAGGGGATTTTCATAATAAATGAATATAAACTTAAGAATTATAAAGTCGGTTTAAAAGAAATTAAACTCGGCGTTTAAGTATCTTAACCAATTGTAAGCTTCTAGTCCCTATTCAAAGGAACTTGTGAAGTGCAAGAATTACGTGGAACGGATACACAAGGATACTATACGTTGAAGCCTTTAACCTCTTTCGCTAATAAACAATGTAGGAAGACACGTGTCTAAATTTGTGTACATTGGATTCAAAATTTATCTGATGATCTGTTGCAATCATAAATCTAACCTTCGCATTTCAGCTTCAAACTTTGTCATCTCATCAAAGCAATCCTAGTATAGGGTCTTCTGAGATTACCACAACTGGAATTACTATAATTATAGAAAGCCCTTTTGTGACAGACGCTATCATTTTGTAATCGACGTGGTGCTTTGTTACCGCTACAGTTTTAAACAATAATACGCGTATCAGTTTTACTGTTTTTCTTTGTGCGGATCGTAAGACACTATACCGGTGATGCCAAAAGTTGTAAGACCTCGATGTAGAAAATGTAAGGGAATCAACGATTTCTCAAATTAAGGTTTCAGACTACCGAAAAAAATCGGAAGCTTTGCATTTTAGTGCAGTGAAGAGGCTACCCACAGGGCTTTATCTATTGTGAGACGGTTGACACGCTACAGGTAGACGTGCCTTGTGGAGGAGCTACCTTTGCTCCTTTGTCAGAGGAAGACGTAAAACGATACGTACAGTCTCCTGGTACGTCAAACTAAACGGGTATTAACCTAAAGGGTCTCAAGTCTTGCAGACTTGGTGAGACTTGACTCTAAGTGTATGCACAAGCTCTTCAGCGTCTATTCCTGGTTCAGAATACTACGACTCCAAGGAATCACGTGGCGCTAATGCCCAATAGTACTTAGCCTTACCTCATACACTTAAGTCTTACAACTAGAGACGTCTTATAAAGACACATGTCTGAAACTGATTGAATCGGAAATTGAGTATATTTGCTGATTCATAGCAACGATAAACCTCACTTGCGTATATAACCTTGAAACCATGCTTTTTAATCGAATAGTCCTCACGAAGGTTCTTCTGGTGTACCACGCCAGAACTATGCCGTTCCTTTGAAGACCCAATTACGATAGATGTAATCAACCCGTAATGGATAAGGTAAACTATCATCGCTTGGCGTGTGTGATATAATAATACGTCTATCGGTGAAACTGATCTCTTTATGTGAACATCATACCAATGCATCTGGTCATCACAACCGTTCGTATGACCCTATTACATGCCTGGATTGGAAGCTACTTACGATTAAGCGCACCCGTGTACCTGTTACGCCAGCTTCTCTAAGCCCATCTCGACTACCAAAAGCAGCTTAAATTAAAGAATCTGGGGGGTGGTACCAACCGTTATTGTAACGGGGCACCCTGAAGCTTGTACTGGTGACAGTACAAGCTACTTATTCTGATGACAGAATAAGGCGGTGCCTCGTAACTTTACGTGCACTCGTACGTGCAGAGGAAGACGGTAAGAAGAAGCGAGTACTTGGTTAAAGTAAAAAGTACAACTTTATTTAAAATAGTTAATGCCTGCAATAAATCACTATTTATCTTCATCTAACAATGTCTGAATACAAATGTGTAAATCAATTATCTGCTCACCACTCATTGCGTGCGTCTGTCGTGGCGTGTCTTCGTTGGTTGATATAATGGCCTATATCAACCAATTAGGAACTACTCGAAAGTGCTGTAGAATATTGTCCTTATGACAATATTCTGAGAATATAACTCTTACAGTTATATTCTATTAACAATTTCTTATAGATTGTTATGTAACAATTCACCCCGTCACATCGCCCCCTTGACCATCAGTCACTTTAGTGACTGATTGACTAAATGGATACTCGTCCCAAATCATTTGGGACAGGGTTTGCACTTGTTGGTCCGAGTCCACTTCCCAACATTTCGTCGCATGGTAAACAAGCCCATGCGATGTGCGAGCAAGGCCGCCGAGAGCGCGTCCGCACGTCTCTGTGTGGACGCCGAAGCAGAAACAACAGCAACTGATGTCTCATCGGTTGCTGAAGCGACCCAGCCTGTGTCACTTGGTGACGCAGGCGCTGGTCATGAAGACACTCATGTCTTCACAGAGTACGAGCTCGGTGTCTCGTACTCTCCTGATACGGATGACGGAACCGTATCGACGGCGATTGAATCTAAGCCGCCTGCCAAGCGTAGCATGGACGATGCTTTGCGTCGCAGCATCTTTGGTTCATCTGATGAATCAGATGAACCATCGCCGAAGCGAAGGCGCTCGAGGTCGCGAGACTCGGGCGCTAACAGTGGTGTCGGTTCTCCTATTGACACTACTTCACAGCGAGGTGCCAGTGCTTCTGTCGGCACGTCGCAGGAAGAGCGGGACCGCAATGTGTTGCGTCTCGCTCCCGAGAAAAAGGCATGGATGCCTCCTAAATCAGTCATGGATCACTTGTCGGCGACGACGAGTGATCGTTATCGAACACGATTGTTCGATTCGTCAAGGATCCATCACCTTGACCCCAGCGCGAAAAAATATCGCGCTGAACATGAATTTTTCATCGATGCGTTCTTTAGACATCGATGGTACAGTGGGAATCACAAACGTGATGGTCCCTCACTACTTCAGGCGTGGAACGCCTACATCCATAACCTCGAGGATGTAGGTCGTGACGCTTGGAACGACAAACTTATCAAAGCTCGTGATAAGTTTGAAAAGCGAACCCCGACAGGTGCACGCTACAAGCTGCATCGTCGGTCAAGGGAGAAAGGATTACCCTGCCTCTCTTGGGGAGACTCGTGCCCATGTTGTGTGAACAACTCTGCACGAGCACCTAAGGAGGCTTACCTCCTTACCAGCCCGTGGTGGCGCGTACGTGTCTCTACTGAGATATACGAAGGGATTGACAACCTGAAATCCCTTTACGACCGTGCCGGGAAGACTTTCTCCAGCGGTCCTTCTGCGGCACAGGATGTGCCGCGTCGTACTGCTCAACCAGACCCAGTACGTCGATCATCAGTTGGGAGCGGGGCTCCCAAGAATCCCAGGACGGGGGATAGCCGCGCCACCGGACGATATAACTCGTCCGACGTCCGTTCACGTCGCGGTGGTTCAACAGCTGCTCAACTAGATAGCGCTGGCCACCGCGAGAGTCCTCTAATGGAGGTGGAGGAGGAGGAAAGACGCTCTCCACACGATCATGTGGATCGGTGTGTTCCCGAGAGCTTCTTTGATCGCGTAACGCAAGGGTTACGCGACGATCTCGAACATGAGTGGGACAGGCGTCTCCAACTGGCGGACACTGCCTCGAAGCATCGAGCTGAGTTTGCCTTTGCTCAGCTTGAGAAAGAGAGAGCTTTGACGTCTCTGCGTGACGAGCTAAGGGTAGCTCGTGGGGATGTTGAGCGGTCTCGGGCTGAGATAGCTGCTCTTCAGACCCTTGTTGATGCTTACCATCGGGAGCACAAGGCTCTCTGCGAGATGCTTGAGCGCAAGGGCGTTCTTCATCGGAAGAAGCAGCGTACTGATCATACGGCTTAAGCCGACCAACGTAAAACGTGGGATGCGTTCGCATCTTACGTGGTAACTCGATCGTGTATGCATTGCCTAGGCGATGCAATACGCGAAATGGGCCAATGTACTTGGGTAGAAGTTTACTGCTACCCAAGTTAGTCACTACATGCTTTGGTAGATTAACCGTAGACAGTAGGACTAAGTCACCTTTATTAAATAAAAGAGTGTTTGCCCTTCCATTCTTGTCAGCGTTTTGCTTTTGCTTATCCATCGCTTCGGCGATGGAGTCTTGCACAAAACGGACTACCGTTTCACGAGCCAGTATGAACTCATCTGATGACTCGTTAGCTTCAGTGCGCTATGAGCGCACTGCAGCAACATCAACCTTTTCTTCAGTGAGGGCTTCCGCACTCTCACTGGGATCATCTTCTTCAGTGAGGGCTTCCGCACTCTCGCTGGCATCATCTTCTTCGATATCGATGTTATCGATATCGGCATCAAACGCAATGACTTCTTCGTCAAAGCGTGATGAGCGTAAATCAAATCGGTTTTTGCTCGCGCGAGTCCCTCCCCCCTTAAACCAGAGTTACACTCTAGTAAGGTGGGTACACACGGATGGCGCAAGCCATTCACGTAAAACGGTGTATGTGTCGTGGACGCATGCACCGAGTTATTTATAGCAAACTCTACCATCGGCAAAAACTCACTCCAACTCTTAAAGGAGTGTACGTATCCTCGAAGTATCTCTTCAAGGACACGGTTGGCACGTTCCGTCTGACCATCTGACTCTGGATGATCAGATGTCGACATCTTCAAGCGCGTTCCGAGTGATTTGAACACGGAACGCCAGAAATCAGCAGTGAATCGTGGATCTCTGTCTGATACGAGTTCACGGGGCAACCCATGAAGTCGGAAGATGGTGTCAATAAAGACACAAGCACAGCCACTTGCCGTGATTGTCTCTGGTACAGCCACAAGATGTACCATTTTGCTGAATCTGTCAACAAATACGAGAATACCCGTATTCCCGCGTCCGTCTTTGGGTAACCCGAAGACAAAATCCATTGAGATGGATTCCCAGCACTCAGCCGGAACCGGTAGAGGCTGTAAAGGTGCACGCAGTGAAGGACTTGACTTCACTCGCTGGCAGACTTCGCATGCGCGAACATACTTTCGCACAAACTGATACTGGCGGGGCCAGTAGAAGTCTCGACTTACCGTGAGATAAGTTTTCTCTCGGCCACGATGTCCTCCTATAGGAGCATCGTGATACTCGAACATGATCCGCAAACGCAGATCAGTATCATCTGGAATGACAACACGTGGTGTGTCGCCAGAAACGGCTGTATAATACAGTAAGCCGTTACGAGTAGTGTATCGATCTGATGCAGATCGATACGCCGACTACAATTGTTTCAACGATTCTCGAGATGGCTGTGAGAGATGTGTCAACAACTTCACAATCTCACCATCTTGGGCATTTGCCCGCCTCACATCATCATACAACGTTGTAGATGGCACTGAGGACGTCATAACCGCAACAGTGACTGTCTCACTGTTGGGTTTCGCGACTGTTTCAAAGTCGGGACGACGTGAGAGTGCATCAGCGACGACATTAAGTCGTCCTGGTTTGTACTCGACCGTAAAGTTGTATTCTGCAAAGAATGACAACCACCGCGCCATTCGTTGTAAAAGGTGCGGGCTGTTCACTGCCGTGCGTAATGACGCATGGTCAGTGTAAACAATGAAGGGTCTATCTCCTAATAGATAGACAGTGAACTTCGCGAGTGCATACTTCATGGCAAGGAGTTCCTTGTCATGCACTGGATAGTTCCGCTCATCTGGTTGCAGCTGACGCGACTGATAGCAGACGACGCGTCCAACACCTTCAAGATCGTACTGCATTAATGCACAGCCGATTGCGAAATCGCTGGCATCACAGACCACATGAAATGGCCTGTCCTGATCGACTATTGCTAGAACTGGGGATTGTATCAAGCTCTGCTTGATACCATCAAAAGAGCGCTGACATTCAGCGCTCCATTACCACCTCTCGTTCTTTTTCAACAAACGAGAGAGGTGCACAGTCATCTCGGCGTAATTGCGTGAATACTTTTGCAAATACGCCGCTAGCCCAAGAAATTTTCGAAGACCTTTGACATCAACCGGCACCGGCCAGTCGGTGATCGCCTTGATCTTTTCGGGATCAGGACGTACACCGTTCTTACCAACGATGCACCCAAGAAGTGGTATTTCGCTTGCAGCAAATATACACTTCTTGAGGTTTGCATACAATTGATGCTTTCGCATGATTGTAAGAACCTGTCGGACGTGGTACCTGTGAACCTCAACGTCCGACTTTCCATCCATAGCTCGACTATGGATGAATACGTCATCGAAATAACTCGGCGCGAATTCTCGTACTGGTCTCAACAGATGTGATACACATCTGTTGAACGTGGCAGGGGCATTACTAAGCCCTTGTGGCATTACTAGCCATTCCTAGAGCATGCCGCTAGGCGTGATAACTGCGGTATAGGGTATATCCCGTTCCCGCATAAGGATTTGATAGAAGCCATCCATCAAATCCATGGACGAAAAGATGGTACTCTTTGACATGCCATCAATGATTACGTCCTTCCTCGTTATCGGCGTCTGAGCCGGTACCGTTGCAGCGTTCAACTTGTTAAATGCATGGTCTATCCGCCACCCTCCTGTTGCTTTTCGCACACAGAAGGTCGGAGAGCTATGTGGGGAAGTTGATTCCCTCACATGGCCCGCTGCTAAACGATCGGCAAAGAACTTGTCGATCGCAAGTACTTGTTCACGGGGCAGTGGCCACTGCTTCATGACACAGTACTTCGAGCCTGGTTTAAGCTCGACCTCGTGTCGAATACCTTTATCCTTCGGTAATTCGCACGGAACAGTTTCATGGAATACATCCTTGAATTCAACCAAATCTTCATAGAGAGGATTTGTCTTGAGCGATTCCCATGATTGGGAGTCATATCGCTCAATTCGTGTCTTTTCATCTAGGACACTCTCGTCCATAGATGAACTACTGAGAACCCTCTCGTTCTCAGTAAAAACTGTTGCTGACCTTATGTCGGTTACACACTCGTCGTCAGCGACGAGTACGCAGATCTGCTTGACTTTGCCACTACGCAGATCACACAAGAACCTTTTATGTTCGAGCGTTGGCAACTGAGTGATCTCCGAAGTTAACTTCGGAGGCGCAATCAGATCAAGTGTATAAGCGCCTACACTTGATCCGTTATTGACTATAACATTCAATGTCTCTGTCATTTCCTGGGGACTTATTCCCTCAGGCTTCGAAGGACTTATTCCTTCGGCTTCCCAAGGACTTATTCCCGCGGGTTTCGGGGAACTTATTTCCGCCGTATTTGTAATCTTGGGACTTATTCCCTTTACTTCCTCTAGCTGGGGTTGCGCAACCACAGCGAGATCCTCTACGAAAGACTCTCCAGTCGATCTAGGATTATCGTTTCGCTTAACCTGAGCGATCGATTGTTTCTCTTCTGGATGTTCCCCGCTAGGGATACATCTTTGTCCCAGTCCACCCGACTTATTCGATTGGTGGACCTTCGGCGCAGCCTGTGTTTCCTCACAGCCGCCGGAACTTTGCTCCGAAGTGTAACCGTTTGTTACAATAAGGTTTTGTGCAGTCGTACTAACGACCGTACCACAAGTGAGGCCATCGCACTCACTCGTAGAACATCCAAACACTTGTGGACGCTCCAAAACGTTCATCAGATGGCCATCTGATGAACAAGCGGCAGGCATCGTTACTGTTCGATGTTGCCAGTTTACCCGTGGTTCGTACCTTCTGAGCCACGGTATTCCAAGGATGACATCAAATTTGTCATCCAAATCCAATACGTCAAAGTCATCGTCATATTGGGTATCTTCTAGCGTATAGTGGATCTTCAATGTACGCTTCATGACGGTTACGGATGCGCCTGTCGCAAGGCGTACCGTCATCCTCGTAGGAGGTGTGTCACATTCACTGAATTTAAAGTGACCATCTTCTAGCGATTGGCGTCGCACAAAATTGTTGGACGCCCCACAATCGACTAAAGCTCGAAGGGACAACTTATTCGTCACTTCGAGTTTCAAGGTAATGAGTGAGACCTCATTACCTAGAGCAGCAACGCACAACGTTTGTGTGTTGGGAGCAACCTTCATCAAGAAGCCTACAAATTCTCTTGACGTTGCTAGACCATTAGGGTGCTCCGCACCTACTGATCCTGTCCGTTTTTTGACGGTCCATCCCGTTGTTGCGTCTTTGCACCAACTGCGGACCCTCGTCCCTGCCCCTTTCTCATGGGTGGGCGGTCACTACGCCCAGTGTTGCGAGACACTGGACGAGGGGCACTACACTCGTAAGCGTAGTGTCCTGTCTTTTGACATCTGTTGCATCTCTGCAACTTCTTGTAGCCTGTAGAGCGAGCCTTCTCGCTCTCTACATAACAGAGTTCCATCGGCTTTGGACCTCCGTTGTCATTTCGTCTCGGTTGACGATATGATGTCGAGCTGGCGCGAGCCTGTTTCAGACTGAAGTCTTCCTGTTCCGCAATGGAAATGGCTTGTTCTAGTGAATCTAGTTCAAGCCGGAACAGGTGAGTCTTGACGGGACCATCCGCAAGACCCTGCATGAACACCGAAACCAACGTGTGTTCATCCACCGGATTGGAACTTATACAACTCGTGAGATATCGTATATGTTGAGCGTAAGCGTGCACATCACGCTTACCCTGCTTGAGCTTCAAGATTTCGGTTCAAGCTCTGAACTCAGCTCTAGGCGGTTCAAACGTTTGTCTGAGCCGCGACTTGAAGACTTCCAACGACCCAAACGCATATGGGTCGTGCAACTTGAGCCCCAGTGCCCAAGTCTTGGCACGTCCTGCCAGATTTGACTGGGCAAATGCAACTTGCATATCCCCGTCGTCGATGCGACGCGCCCTTATGGCGTCATCCAATTCGACGAACCATCTCAAGAGGGAGTCCTCTTCGACTCCCCTATACTTGGAGATGTCAATCTTCAAGGTTTCGGGTCGACGCGAATGCATCGACCCACCAGCAGCAGCCTGCTGCTGTCTCAACAGTTCAAACTGTTGAGCACCCTGTTCTCTCAACAACTCTGCTTGTTGAGAACCTTGTTGGTGAAGCAAGGCTACTTTCTCGCGTTCTGCGTCAAGTTTATTTTGAATGAACTTGGAGATAGTAGCATGTTGGGCATCTCTATTGAGAGCCTCTAGCATGACGCTAACAGCATGGATGCCCATGGTTGAACCCATTCGTTCAACCGCATCCCATTCGACATTGCTCAAATGGGAGTAGCCGTCACACGTAGCGTGAAAGATTTGGTCATCTTCATCATCCAACATATTCATGTTGGATGTGAACGCGGTCCTTGGACGGACTACGAAGTGCTACCAGGTGTAACGGGGCACCCTGAAGCTTGTACTGGTGACAGTACAAGCTACTTATTCTGATGACAGAATAAGGCGGTGCCTCGTAACTTCACGTACACTGGTACGTGCAGAGGAAGACGGTAAGAAGAAGCGAGTACTTGGTTAAAGTAAAAAGTAGAACTGTATTTATAATAGTTAATGTCTGCAATAAATCACTATTTATCTTCATCTAACTATGTCTAAATACAAATGTGTAAATCAATTATCTGCTCACCACTCATTGCGTGCGTCTGTCGTGGCGCGTCTTCGTTGGTTGATATAATGGCCTATATCAACCAATTAGGAACTACTTGGAAGTGCTACAGAATATTTGTCCTTATGACAATATTCCGAGAATATAACTCTTTTAGTTATATTCTATTAACAATTTCTTATAAATTGTTATGTAACGATTCACCCCGTTACAGTTATCTTACGATCACGCTCAAGCTAGGGTATCCATCGCTGAGACCACTGCCGCGCCAAATCACGATGCGGCTTTCATTTCTTGCACTAATGCTGCCCCTAATTATTGAAATTATTCATAAGGTATAGGGTAGGTACGGCGAAGTATAGTCCTCTCAGACTCCCATTTGCGAAGAGGCCATGTACTCATCAGCGTCAATGGTTGCACAAACTATATGCGGCTTAACAGAATCATCCGACAACGAACTTTGAAATGGTGGAGGCACCAGTATGACGTAATTAAATGCATGGCTACCTTAAGATCGACGCGCATGCGATACAGATGGACCGATTTTTTTTCAGTTTTAGAGCTTTATTCTTAGGCACGTTGTAGAAAAAATCTTTAAAATGTAGGTTTAACGTTCAGATGATAAGGTTTTGCTCAAAAAAACCTGCGCTCTTTAAGATATCGCTGGCTGCAAGAGTCGTTACGTTTAACTTGCCGATGCAACATTCAGTGCATAGCGTCGGAGGGCAGAAAGCCATCGCGATACTATGTGATATGAGATAAGCGATGATGCATTGGTCGCGGGATCGATAGAGCAGTTTTGTACCACGTACGCGCACTGATGGTCACCAAATGATGGAAGACGGTGAAGTGAACATAGTGTCGTATACTAGGAGGTCGCAAAAGCATCCCATAAAGCTTGAAGTGAATTGATATGACCAGTAGAAAACGCGAACGCTGTCATAGCAGCCAGAGATGTGACAGCCCACAGTGCAACATCGCCGGATCGTCGCGAAGCGTTTGCGCAGCGCTCAAATGAGTAAGCGCCTTTGCAGGCGACAAACTACATGATTTGCGTGTGAAGGGCATCGTTACGCCGTGGGGTGTATCGTTAAAAAATGCATTTATGAACAGTCCAACCTAGCAAACGAACTATAGGAGCACGCCTTGGACGACTGGTAGTTCATTGCATCTTCCTCATTTTGGTTTTAACAGTTTTATTACAAGTGTTTTTATGAGAGGGTGGTACAACGGGATCAAAACCCGTGTAACAAGACTGGAAGTTCTGGAAAAGAATCCGAGTGTGATATGCGCCTATACCTGTCACTTGATTAAGTTATGTCACTCGTATACCTACCGCAAGTTTAAGTGTCATACACAACGGTGACATCACCAGAAGACGTCATTACAGGACGGCATTGAAGCGCTTCGTTAAGTCTTAGCGCTCTGTACTGACCGCGCCTTATTGGAGCACACGTCAATCTTCAATGTTAAGCCAATTGTCGAGATTTTTGAGTTCGAGTCATTAGTATGAAACAGTCAAAATGTGCAACCTATTCAGGAAGTGTACGCCGAAGGACGGAAAACCGCATCTTAGCTACGTTCTGCAAAAGTTTCATCTTTGTTGACGCTCTCATAAGTTGCTCACCTAAATCTCAGCTGCACGCAAAAAAAGACAGTAAAACAGTTTCCTTGCACGTGCCCGAAGGTGCGGGCTCAGTCAGAGGGTTACAGATTTGTATGCCCGCCTGCAAGAGAATAACTATCGCAGATGCACACACTGTTTTGTCTTGTGATAACACTTGTAATTCTCAGTAGATCTTATACCGCAAACATACATAAAATTGAAATCATTTCAATCATGGCAAAATTCTGTGTTTGCATGCTACACCTATCGTTCCTAAAAAGATCTGAACAATTCTTTCGCCCTGCCATCCAGCGAGTAATTATGCCGTACGTTGAATGCGCTGAACGACTGCTCAGCAGATCAATAGTTGTCGTCGTAACAAACACTCCCACTCCGCAGGGCCGTGTCGATACAAACCGAAACACAGCACCATCGACCAGACGTTTGCATGTTCAATCAGGTTGTTTCAGAGAGACTCCTCTCAAATGCGTCGGTCACACTCTTCTAACAACCAACATGCGATGTGGAACAATCACACCCACGGAGACAATTCTCCAAAAAACACTGTCTACATTCGACTACCAGTACACACTGACATGTTTTGGTCTGGACATCTGTTTGCAATTCTGAGCTTTCCTTCCATTGCCTGGTCGAGATTCTAGGTTCTCCCCCGACAGCAAACTACGCTTCAGTGGCCCTCACTTCAATATTTGAGACAGTTCGCTTGTAGTAGCCATTAGGATGTCTTCCTAATGGAAGACATAGTGGCTGTTTTGACACTGTCGAGGATCGATCAGCGTTACTACACAAGGGACGAAAACAAGATACGTCCGTTTTCAGCAGAGCCTGGACGAAAGGATCCGGGATTCAGAGCTGTAGTTTTCAGAACATAGTAGCGGAATGCCAAAGGTTGCCGTCCACCGACAGCTTGAGCCAAGTATTGTACCATTGCGGTGATGAGAAAGCAGGAAAAAGCAACGCTCGTCCGACCAAACGGTTGTGCTGATGTTGTCGTGCCGCTGCGTAACCTTCATTTGGCAAGGCATGAGGTACAGCGACAGATGGTAAAAGCCCACGACATCGTATGCCCTATGCAATCGGCTGGATCCATAACCTTAGATTGAGCTGTGAATTTCGAAATGAAGTAAATCGTGATGTGGCAAACCAAATGTCATTTGCGATTAGAACCGTAGGCCACCAGCGAGTTTGTGTGAATGCAATGTATTGGGCTACCTACTGCGTCAGTCAAGCATCATCTTCAGTCATTTCTGCATGTGATCACAACGATGCCTCCGGCAACGCGACAGGAAGAGCTGAAACACCAGTTTCGGCATCTTCAGTAACCGCGCTTTCGCTCAAAAGACCAGGGACAAGCGTGAGAATGTCAGGGACCACCGAGAGGATATCCGGGACCACCAAGAGAATGTCAGTAACGACGGTCAGGATGTCGGGAACGACGGTCAAGACATCCGGGACGACCGTCAAGGTATCGGGGACAACCGTCAAGATGTCTGGGAGTATCGTCAAGATGTCTGGAACAACCGTCAAGATGTCTGGAACAACCGTCAAGATGTCTGGGATCACCGTCAGGGTGTCTGGGATCAGCGTTAAAATGTCGGGGACAATCGTCAGGATGTCAGGGACTACCGTTACGATATCCGGAATGATGTCAGGAGAAACGTCCGTCTGGTCCGTCTTGTAAGCTGGGGCAGACAGGTAGTCGTCGTGGGCGCCATAAGCTTGATCGGATTGCTTGTACGGGTGGTTCTTTTCAGTCATGTGAGTCTGCTCAGCTGAGTAATCATTGTGAGTCGAGTGAGAATTTTGAATCGGATGGGTCTGCTCAGCCGAGTACGTCTGGTGAGTCGAGTACACATGCTCCGACGGAAGAGCCTGCTCAGGTGAGTATGTCTGGTGAGTCAAGTACACATGATCAGATGGGTGAACCTGCTCAGCTGAGTAAGAATGCTGGTCAATCGAGTACACGTGCTCAGACGGATGAGTCAGATGAATTGGATGCGTCTGCTCATCCCCATAGGCATGCTCCGTTGAGTGCATGTGTCCAGTCGAGTGGGAGTCTCCCGTCGAGTAAGCGTATTGAGATGGGTACGCTTCATCAACTAGGTGATTCTGTTGAAATGAGTAGCCGTCTCCTGTTTGATAAGCTTCTCCAACATGGTCGTCGATAGTGTCATATGCCTTGTGAATCGCGTGCGAGCCCGTCGTTTCGTGAGCCACGTGTATCTTTCCGCCCGGACCACCCACGGAAATGTCGGTGTCTTCGTAAGGCTCAGTAGGCTCAGCTTCATAGCCGTACCCGCCGTCCACGTGTTCTAGAGCCGTGCTGTATCCTTCACCACCAGACTGGAAGTGATCGGACGTACTATCTGTTCTGTCATGGTGTTGCCAGTGGTGTCCAGACGCGGCGTCTTTGCTGTGATGGTGCTGACCGTAGTGATCCGTCGTTTCGTCACCATCCGCATGCGTGTAGCTCTTGTCAACGGTGGGAGCTCCGTGGTCGCCGGTGCTTTCACCGTAGTTGGTAGTATAGGTCGTAGCGCTCCGTTCTCACTGGTTGCGCCAAAGTCAACCGATTCATGGTTGACGCCCGTCGTCGTCATGGTTGTAGCACCATAGTTACCGTAAGTGGCACCATCCATCGTCGTACCACCAGCAGTGCCGCCGCGGCTTTCGGTGGTCGTGCTGATGCCCTCGTATCCTGTTGCAGTGACACCAGCAATTTCATCCGACGCCACATCACAGTTTACACTGAGCGGCTCGTCCTGAGTCGGGTCGTAATCAGCGCCTCCTGCACTGTACACCGCCGCCGTTTCGGCATCTGCGGCAGAAGTGTATCCCGTATGAGGGAACGCGCACCCCCACGTGTCGTCGACCACGATGATGCACTGCGCATCAGTCGGGGCGACACACGCTGATCCGTTGTAGGATAACAAGTATGGTTGGCAGTCAGCAGAAGCGACGTCTCCAGCCATCGGACAGCTCGTGCCCGCCGGCGCAGCTCCGTTTCCTGAGCATGACAAGCCGCGAGATTCCGGTAGCATATAGGTGCCATCGTGTTGCACGGAGATTGGGACGTCGGCGGAGGCAAGGGTCGAAACCAGGAGGCCGGTCAGGGTCAAGCGTTGTGAAGTCATCAGACGCTTTGAAGTGACGGTTGATGTGGTTGCCCGAGCGTTAATCGGGGAATGAGACTACGAGCTGCTGCAGTTCCCACACTATGGTCCGTTACGGCAGAACAAAGGGATCGAGCGTAGAAAAGGAAAGTCTAATGAATCATGTCATGATGGTTTGCGAAGCGTTTCGATCCGGTAAAACGCTGTTTACAGTCTCGTATGTAACTCGTGTCAATCGTTTCGAGAAAGTCTCGGTCTCTGAAGCGTGTTTTGTCCGCATAACTATTCGGCTCCGCAAATCTAAGTCTGTGCCGCCCCTCGTTTCGATGAAGGTCTCTGGACATTAGATCCATCATGTATGCAAGTCACCTCTATCGTCTACGCTTCTCTTTAATCGATAGCGTCCACTTCTTTCACGACCGCGGCTCACCATCGCTGGCAGACTGACTTCAGCTCACATTCAGTTTCAAGAGTTGGCGTTCGAAACATTGCCATTAGTTTCGCCTACAAAGGTCGCGAGAGCAGAAAGTGGTGGTGTACCACCACGTTCATGCTGGTCATCTAACACTATGTGTGCATGCGGCGCGGAAAAGAAAATGCGAGGTATGAAGCGCGTTTCGATTGAACAGGTGTTGAGCTCAAATGTACGTTGCTGAGCCACGTTGCGCCCCGACGTCGACGACGGGCGACATCCGTTTGTTCTGGCTTCACGTGCAGCTAGTTTGTGAACATCGGCACGGATCGGGACCGGCATCAAGAGTTTTGCATTGTTGCAATAGCATCTCAAGCTCAGTTGAAAGAAGTTCTATCGACCATTGCAACAAACGGTCGATTGTGCGTCAACGTTTGCTTCTTCAGATGCACAAGATAGAAATCGGGTGCTGCGTCCGCTAGTCTCGCCGATATTTGCCCTACATTCTTCCCCAAGCTACCAAAAAGATGCGAGCAAGATGTCGGTCAAACTATGGTGCATGTCCACGGTTGGCAAGACACCATCATCCGGAACAGAGCATCTGGACCAATGGACGAAAGGACAATATCTGACGAAGGAGGGATCCGACATGACTTCAGAAACGTTATCTTGGATGTCGCTCGAACTGTTACCGCACATGCAGATGTTGCGAACGCATCCAATCGGATCGACGGAGACACCATCGGTGTCCTTCTTGCTGCATTCCTTCGCGAACTTGTGTAAAAATCACCCAGTTCGCTCTGATAACCTATGGTAGGTTTTATGAGAGAGAAAAGACCCAAGATCATTAAAATCGTTGAAAATCTACGTTTGCATGCACCACAATCTCCTTTGAACCGTACTGAGCGAGCCTTCGCTTTGCCTAATGCTGCGTAAATATGACGCATGTTGAATGTGTTGAACGACTGCTCAGCAGATCAATAGTTGTCACTCTTCAATCAGCGTTATTTGGAGGAGGAGTATAAACAGGACCAGTACTGGCATCAGCCAGATACTCGAACGACGGCCATCAAGCCACCTCCGCGCCTCCCCCCCCGATGGGGAGGAGGGGAACAGCACCCAATTCGACGCGCTACCCGATAGGCAGAGCCACAAAGGAAGGGCTCGCGGGATGGTAGCGGTTCAGGGCGGGCAGGACGATTCCCCTGCCTCTCCTGGCGTCACAAGACCACTCGTTACCCAGACGGCAGGTGGATATATCGTAGTTGACACCATCATTGTAACGGGGTGAATCGTTACATAACAATTTATAAGAAATTGTTAATAGAATATAACTATAAGAGTTATATTCTCAGAATATTGTCATAAGGACAAATATTCTGTAGCACTTACAAGTAGTTCCTAATTGGTTGATATAGGCCATTATATCAACCAACGAAGACGCGCCACGACAGACGCACGCAATGAGTGGTGAGCAGATAATTGATTTACACATTTGTATTTAGACATAGTTAGATGAAGATAAATAGTGATTTATTGCAGACATTAACTATACTAAATACAGTTCTACTTTTTACTTTAACCAAGTACTCGCTTCTTCTTACCGTCTTCCTCTGCACGTACCAGTGTACGTGAAGTTACGAGGCACCGCCTTATTCTGTCATCAGAATAAGTAGCTTGTACTGTCACCAGTACAAGCTTCAGGGTGCCCCGTTACACCTGGTAGCACTTCGTAGTCCGTCCAAGGACCGCGTTCACATCCAACATGAATATGTTGGATGATGAAGATGACCAAATCTTTCACGCTACGTGTGACGGCTACTCCCATTTGAGCAATGTCGAATGGGATGCGGTTGAACGAATGGGTTCAACCATGGGCATCCATGCTGTTAGCGTCATGCTAGAGGCTCTCAATAGAGATGCCCAACATGCTACTATCTCCAAGTTCATTCAAAATAAACTTGACGCAGAACGCGAGAAAGTAGCCTTGCTTCACCAACAAGGTTCTCAACAAGCAGAGTTGTTGAGAGAACAGGGTGCTCAACAGTTTGAACTGTTGAGACAGCAGCAGGCTGCTGCTGGTGGGTCGATGCATTCGCGTCGACCCGAAACCTTGAAGATTGACATCTCCAAGTATAGGGGAGTCGAAGAGGACTCCCTCTTGAGATGGTTCGTCGAATTGGATGACGCCATAAGGGCGCGTCGCATCGACGACGGGGATATGCAAGTTGCATTTGCCCAGTCAAATCTGGCAGGACGTGCCAAGACTTGGGCACTGGGGCTCAAGTTGCACGACCCATATGCGTTTGGGTAGTTGGAAGTCTTCAAGTCGCGGCTCAGACAAACGTTTGAACCGCCTAGAGCTGAGTTCAGAGCTCGAACCGAAATCTTGAAGCTCAAGCAGGGTAAGCGTGATGTGCACGCTTACGCTCAACATATACGATATCTCACGAGTTGTATAAGTTCCAATCCGGTGGATGAACACACGTTGGTTTCGGTGTTCATGCAGGGTCTTGCGGATGGTCCCGTCAAGACTCACCTGTTCCGGCTTGAACTAGATTCACTAGAACAAGCCATTTCCATTGCGGAACAGGAAGACTTCAGTCTGAAACAGGCTCGCGCCAGCTCGACATCATATCGTCAACCGAGACGAAATGACAACGGAGGTCCAAAGCCGATGGAACTCTGTTATGTAGAGAGCGAGAAGGCTCGCTCTACAGGCTACAAGAAGTTGCAGAGATGCGACAGATTTCAAAAGACAGGACACTACGCTTACGAGTGTAGTGCCCCTCGTCCAGTGTCTCGCAACACTGGGCGTAGTGACCGTCCCACCATGAGAAAGGGGCAGGGACGCGGGTCCGAAGTTGGTGCAAAGACGCAACAACGGGATGGACCGTCAAAAAACGGACAGGATCAGTAGGTGCGGAGCACCCTACTGGTCCAGCAACGTCAAGAGAATTTGCAGGCCTCTTGATGAAGGTTGCTCCCAACACACAAACGTTGTGCGTTGCTGCTCTAAGTAATGAGGTCTCACTCATTACCTTGAAACTCGAAGTGACGAATAAGTTGTCCCTTCGAGCTCTAGTCGATTGTGGGGCGTCCAACAATTTTGTGCGACGCCAATCGCTAGAAGATGGTCACTTTAAATTCAGTGAATGTGACACACCTCCTACGAGGATGACGGTACGTCTTGCGACAGGCGCATCCGTAACCTTCATGAAGCGTACATTGAAGATCCACTATACGCTAGAAGATACCCAATATGACGATGACTTTATCGTATTGGATTTGGATGACAAATTTGACGTCATCCTTGGAATACCGTGGCTCAGAAGGTACGAACCACGGGTAAACTGGCAACATCGAACAGTAACGATGCCTGCCGCTTGTTCATCAGATGGCCATCTGATGAACGTTTTGGAGCGTCCACAAGTGTTTGGATGTACTACGAGTGAGTGCGATGGCCTCACTTGTGGTACGGTCGTTAGTACGACTGCACAAAACCTTAGTGTACCAAACGGTTGCACTTCGGAGCAAAGTTCCGGCGGCTGTGAGGAAACACAGGCTGCGCCGAAGGTCCACCAATCGAATAAGTCGGGTGGACTGGGACAAAGATGTATCCCTAGCGGGGAACATCTAGAAGAGAAACAATCGATCGCTCAGGTTAAGCGAAACGATAATCCTAGATCGACTGGAGAGTCTTTCGTAGAGGATCTCGCTGTGGTTGCGCAACCCCAGCTAGAGGAAGTAAAGGGAATAAGTCCCAAGAATACAAATACGGCGGAAATAAGTTCCCCGAAACCCGCGGGAATAAGTCCTCGGGAAGCCGAAGGAATAAGTCCTTCGAAGCCTGAGGGAATAAGTCCCGGGGAAATGACAGAGACATTGAATGTCATAGTCAATAACGGATCAAGTGTAGGCGCTTATACACTTGATCTGATTGCGCCTCCGAAGTTAACTTCGGAGATCACTCAGTTGCCAACGCTCGAACATAAAAGGTTCTTGTGTGATCTGCGTAGTGGCAAAGTCAAGCAGATCTGCGTACTCGTCGCTGACGACGAGTGTGTAACCGACATAAGGTCAGCAACAGTGTTTACTGAGAACGAGAGAGTTCTCAGTAGTTCATCTATGGACGAGAGTGTCCTAGATGAAAAGACACGAATTGAGCGATATGACTCCCAATCATGGGAATCGCTCAAGACAAATCCTCTCTATGAAGATTTGGTTGAATTCAAGGATGTATTCCATGAAACTGTTCCGTGCGAATTACCGAAGGATAAAGGTATTCGACACGAGGTCGAGCTTAAACCAGGCTCGAAGTACTGTGTCATGAAGCAGTGGCCACTGCCCCGTGAACAAGTACTTGCGATCGACAAGTTCTTTGCCGATCGTTTAGCAGCGGGCCATGTGAGGGAATCAACTTCCCCACATAGCTCTCCGATCTTCTGTGTGCGAAAAGCAACAGGAGGGTGGCGGATAGACCATGCATTTAACAAGTTGAATGCTGCAACGGTACCGGCTCAGACGCCGATACCGAGGAAGGACGTAATCATTGATGGTATGTCAAAGAGTACCATCTTTTCGTCCATGGATTTGATGGATGGCTTCTATCAAATCCTTATGCGAGAACGGGATATACCCTATACCGCAGTTAGAACGCCTAGCAGCATGCTCTGGGAATGACTAGTAATGCCACAAGGGCTTAGTAATGCCCCTGCCACGTTCAACAGATGTGTATCACATCTGTTGAGACCAGTACGAGAATTCGCGCCGAGTTATTTCGATGAAGTATTCATCCATAGTCGAGCTATGGATGGAAAGTCGGACGTTGAGGTTCACAGGTACCACGTCCGACAGGTTCTTACAATCATGCGAAAGCATCAATTGTATGCAAACCTCAAGAAGTGTATATTTGCTGCAAGCGAAATACCACTTCTTGGGTGCATCGTTGGTAAGAACGGTGTACGTCCTGATCCCGAAAAGATCAAGGCGATCACCGACTGGCTGGTGCCGGTTGATGTCAAAGGTCTTCGAAAATTTCTTGGGCTAGCGGCGTATTTGCAAAAGTATTCACGCAATTACGCCGAGATGACTGTGCACCTCTCTCGTTTGTTGAAAAAGAACGAGAGGTGGTAATGGAGCGCTGAATGTCAGCGCTCTTTTGATGGTATCAAGCAGAGCTTGATACAATCTACAGTCCTAGCAATAGTCGATCAGGACAGGCCATTTCATGTGGTCTGTGATGCCAGCGATTTCGCAATCGGCTGTGCATTAATGCAGTACGATCTTGAAGGTGTTGAACGCGTCGTCTGCTATCAGTCGCGTCAGCTGCAACCAGCTGAGCGGAACTATCCAATGCATGACAAGGAACTCCTTGCCATGAAGTATGCACTCGCGAAGTTCAGAGTCTATCTATTAGGAGATAGACCCTTCATTGTTTACACTGACCATGCGTCATTACGCACGGCAGTGAACAGCCCGCACCTTTTACAACGAATGGCGCGGTGGTTGTCATTCTTTGCAGAATACAACTTTACGGTCGAGTACAAACCAGGACGACCTAATGTCGTCGCTGATGCACTCTCACGTCGTCCCGACTTTGAAACAGTCGCGAAACCCAACAGTGAGACAGTCACTGTTGCGGTTATGACGTCCTCAGTGCCATCTACAACGTTGTATGATGATGTGAGGCGGGCATACGCCCAAGATGGTGAGATAGTGAAGTTGTTGACACATCTCTCACAGCCATCTCGAGAATCGTTGAAACAATTGTCGTCGGCGTATCGATCTGCATCAGATCGATACACTACTCGTAACGGCTTACTGTATTATACAGCCGTTTCTGGTGACACACCACGTGTTGTCATTCCAGATGATACTGATCTGCGTTTGCGGATCATGTTCGAGTATCACGATGCTCCTATAGGAGGACATCGTGGCCGAGAGAAAACTTATCTCACGGTAAGTCGAGACTTCTACTGGCCCCGCCAGTATCAGTTTGTGCGAAAGTATGTTCGCGCATGCGAAGTCTGCCAACGAGTGAAGTCAAGTCCTTCACTGCGTGCACCTTTACAGCCTCTACCGGTTCCGGCTGAGTGCTGGGAATCCATCTCAATGGATTTCGTCTTCGGGTTACCCAAAGACGCACGCGGGAATACGGGTATTCTCGTATTTGTTGACAGATTCAGCAAAATGGTACATCTTGTGGCTGTACCAGAGACAATCACGGCAAGTGGCTGTGCTTGTGTCTTTATTGACACCATCTTCCGACTTCATGGGTTGCCCCGTGAACTCGTATCAGACAGAGATCCACGATTCACTGCTGATTTCTGGCGTTCCGTGTTCAAATCACTCGGAACGCGCTTGAAGATGTCGACATCTGATCATCCAGAGTCAGATGGTCAGACGGAACGTGCCAACCGTGTCCTTGAAGAGATACTTCGAGGATACGTACACTCCTTTAAGAGTTGGAGTGAGTTTTTGCCGATGGTAGAGTTTGCCATCAACAACTCGGTGCATGCGTCCACGACACATACACCGTTTTACGTGAATGGCTTGCGCCATCCGTGTGTACCCACCTTACTATAGTGTGACTCTGGCTTAAGGGGGGAGGGACTCGCGCGAGCAAAAACCGATTTGATTTACGCTCATCACGCTTTGACGAAGAAGTCATTGCGTTTGATGCCGATATCGATAACATCGATATCGAAGAAGATGATGCCAGTGAGAGTGCGGAAGCCCTCACTGAAGAAGATGATCCCAGTGAGAGTGCGGAAGCCCTCACTGAAGAAAAGGTTGATGTTGCTGCAGTGCGCTCATAGCGCACTGAAGCTAACGAGTCATCAGATGAGTTCATACTGGCTCGTGAAACGGTAGTCCGTTTTGTGCAAGACTCCATCGCCGAAGCGATGGATAAGCAAAAGCAAAACGCTGACAAGAATGGAAGGGCAAACACTCTTTTATTTAATAAAGGTGACTTAGTCCTACTGTCTACTGTTAATCTACCAAAGCATGTAGTGACTAACTTGGGTAGCAGTAAACTACTACCCAAGTGCATTGGCCCATTTCGTGTATTGCATCGCCTAGGCAATGCATACACGATCGAGTTACCACGTAAGATGCGAACGCATCCCACGTTTTACGTTGGTCGGCTTAAGCCGTATGATCAGTACGCTGCTTCTTCCGATGAAGAACGCCCTTGCGCTCAAGCATCTCTCAGAGAGCCTTGTGCTCCCGATGGTAAGCATCAACAAGGGTCTGAAGAGCAGTTATCTCAGCCCGAGACCGATCAACAATCCCACGAGCTACCCTTAGCTCGTCACGAAGAGATGTCAGAGATCTCTCGTTCTCGAGCTGAGCAAAGGCAAACTCAGCTCGATGCTTCGAGGCAGTGTCCGCCATTTGGAGACGCCTATTCCGCTCATGTTCGAGATCGTCGCGTAACCCTTGCGTTACGCGATCAAAGAAGCTCTCAGGAACACACCGATCCACATGATCGTGTGGAGAGCGTCTTTCCTCCTCCTCCACCTCCATTAGAGGACTCTCGCGGTGGCCAGCGCTATCTAGTTGAGCAGCTGTTGAACCACCGCGACGTGAACGGACGTCGGACGAGTTATCTCGTCCGGTGGCGCGGCTATCCCCCGTCCTGGGATTCTTGGGAGCCCCGCTCCCAACTGATGATCGACGTACTGGGTCTGGTTGAGCAGTACGACGCGGCACATCCTGTGCCGCAGAAGGACCGCTGGAGAAAGTCTTCCCGGCACGGTCGTAAAGGGATTTCAGGTTGTCAATCCCTTCGTATATCTCAGTAGAGACACGTACGCGCCACCACGGGCTAGTAAGGAGGTAAGACTCCTTAGGTGCTCGTGCAGAGTTGTTCACACAACATGGGCACGAGTCTCCCCAAGAGAGGCAGGGTAATCCTTTCTCCCTCGACCGACGATGCAGCTTGTAGCGTGCACCTGTCGGGGTTCGCTTTTCAAACTTATCACGAGCTTTGATAAGTTTGTCGTTCCAAGCGTCACGACCTACATCCTCGAGGTTATGGATGTAGGCGTTCCACGCCTGAAGTAGTGAGGGACCATCACGTTTGTGATTCCCACTGTACCATCGATGTCTGAAGAAAGCATCGATGAAGAATTCATGTTCAGCGCGATATTTTTTCGCGCTGGGGTCAAGGTGATGGATCCTTGACGAATCGAACAATCGTGTTCGATAACGATCACTCGTCGTCGCCGACAAGTGATCCATGACTGATTTAGGAGGCATCCATGCCTTCTTCTCGGGAGCGAGACGCAACACATTGCGGTCCCGCTCTTCCTGCGACGTGCCGACAGAAGTACTGGCACCTCGCTGTGAAGTGGTGTCCACAGGAGAACCGACACCACTATTAGCGCCCGAGTCTCGCGACCTCGAGCGCCTACGCTTCGGCGATGGTTCATCTGATTCATCAGATGAACCAAAGATGCTGCGACGCAAAGCATCGTCCATGCTACGCTTGGCAGGCGGCTTAGATTCAATCGCCGTCGATACGGTTCCGTCATCCGTATCAGGAGAGTACGAGACACCGAGCTCGTACTCTGTGAAGACACGAGTGTCTTCATGACCAGCGCCTGCATCACCAATTGACACAGGCTGGGTCGCTTCAGCAACCGATGAGACATCAGTTGCTGTTGTTTCTGCTTCGGCGTCCGCACAGAGACGTGCAGACGCGCTCTCGGCGGCCTTACTCGCGCATCGCATGGGCTTGTTTACCATGCGATGAAATGTTGGAAAGTGGACGCGGACCAACAAGTGCAAACCCTGTCCCAAATGATTTGGGACGAGTATCCATTTAGTCAATCAGTCACTAAAGTGACTGATGGTTAGGGGGGTGATGTAACGGGGTGAATCGTTACATAACAATTTATAAGAAATTGTTAATAGAATTAAACTATAAGAGTTATATTCTCGGAATATTGTCATAAGGACAAATATTCTGTAGCACTTACGAGTTGTTCCTAATTGGTTGATATAGGCCATTATATCAACCAACGAAGACGCGCCACGACAGACGCACGCAATGAGTGGTGAGCAGATAATTGATTTACACATTTGTATTTAGACATAGTTAGATGAAGATAAATAGTGATTTATTGCAGACATTAACTATTTTAAATACAGTTGTACTTTTTACTCTAACCAAGTACTCGCTTCTTCTTACCGTCTTCCTCTGCACGTACCAGTGTACGTGAAGTTACGAGGCACCGCCTTATTCTGTCATCAGAATAAGTAGCTTGTACTGTCACCAGTACAAGCTTCAGGGTGCCCCGTTACAATCATGGCAGACGACCAGCAGGCGGTTCCCGTATCGAGCCACGGGCCAGACACGGTCGGAGCCTCGGTCGATCACGGTTTAAACTCGTCAACGCCTGGCGGCGGCAACGGAGCGTCGACGCGTCAGACAGCGGTATCACAACCCCGATTACCTGAGGGGGTAAAGAAAACTTCATCCACGCCGGCCGTGGAGCACGTACCTCCTAAGGAGCTTTTTGAGGCTCTAATTGAGTCGATGAAAGCCTCACCAGGCCCAACCAACGTTGATGTCTGGCGTCTGTCCATCCAGGACCTATTTACAGCGGAATATGCTCGGATACCGGTAAGCGTCGACGCGTTACCGGCCGGACGCACAAGGTTTCCCAAGCTTAAGGGACCTGAGGCGGATAGCTTGCTCGATCTTTTTCGACGCTGTTATGTGTCAGCTTCTGGAAGTTTCGCCGACTGGAAACGACTGGCTCATCAGATCAGCAAAGATCTCCTCCTGACGAAGTGGGCATTCAAGGAGATCATAAGAAAATTGGTCAGTCAGCAAAAGTGGGCCACTGCTCCTGTCCCCAATCAATGGGCAGAAGTCGTGCGGGCGGGTAATACGGCTCGCCAAATGGACGGGGAGAACAAAGGGAGCATAACCTATGAAGATTTTATGTTTGACCCGGCATAATTCTCGTTGGAAGACTCGATTACACTAAAGGCCATATGTGTGGCCCGGCTAGGTAACACGGGCTTCCAACGGCTACGTGAGGGGTCTGATGACGAATGGCGCATTATTGTGGGTATTGCCGAAGGGCATATAGTCTGTCGCCGGATGCCAGACTTTCTACGATCGGTTCTGGACAGCAAGGAACGTCTTCGGCTGTACAGTACCGTTCAGGCGCAGGTGGAGGGTCAATTAGTTCTCCATATCAGCGGTGGGCGTGACATTCCTCTAAGTCGTCAGACAACGAAGGCCATCACGGAGAAGATTCTGGAATCAGCCGAGCTGTTGAGGGTCAGTTTGCCCGATCTTCATCGCCTGCTGGGATCAACGAAAACGATCAATTACAATCGATCAACCCGGTCGATTCACTTTTTCTTTTTTTCGCGGGACAAGGCAAAGAAGCTCCAGGACGTTCAAGTGCCTTTTCAAGGTCGAGTTTATACGCTGGAGAACGCCCATCAGCCGGTAAGGGGATCGGTATGGCTGAACCAGCGGGGTCCAGATGGTCGGTCGGGGTACCCAAGATCCGCTTATACGATTATCCTCTATAATCTTACCAGATTCGACGACATTGGACGCCTAGCAGCTTACTTGCGCTCGAAGATTCAAACAGAATTTGAGCTGGAGGACATGGACACATGCACACCAAATTCAAGAACATCAACAGCGTGGAAGGTAACCTTTCATCTAGCGGGCTGCCCGAAATTCCTTCAGGGTATAGTACGATTACTTTGGTTTGGAACACCGATCATCATCAGGCATCCAGATGTGGGCCATCGCCTCCAATGTCTGCAGTGTGGAACTTTGGGACACCCGGCGGGCAGATGTCAATTCACAGATGCGCAATTACGCGGGCCGGGTGGCGTAGAAGTTATCGAACCAGATCTTCAAGCTGTTGAAGACCTCGTCAAGCCTTTTAGCAGTCCAGACGAAATGAGGCAGATGGCAATGAGACGTCTACAAGTCCAACAATCGGAGGATGCGTCAGCGCAGGCTGCAGTGACGCCGGTGGCATTGACAGTTGCCCCCAGTCCGTCGCCAGTGGCAGAACCCCCTAGAACTGGCATACCTCTCCAACCGGTATATACTCCACCAGGCACGCACGAGGGGCCACCACCACCGGCCCCAAAATGCCGACCAGCGCAACCATGGCTGACCCGGCCTGTACGGGGAGGGAGGAGGATATGGTCACCCCTGCAGGCCTCGAAAGGCGATCTCAAGGTTAGCAGCGGTAGTTATCACGTGCTCCAAGAGAACGAGCTGGATGAGACCGAAACGTCCTCGAATTATGTTAATAGTGTTAACATTAGGTGATGCGACATGTGTGATATGGACATTAGGATGGATTAGTGTGTCCATGGGTCAGAGGTTAGTATAAGTAGTACTACACGTAGACCAAGCTTGCTGTAGCTCAAGTGGTTATGTGTGGCAGCCATAACCCAGAGGTCACTGGTTCGATACCCGGCAGCAAAAGTTAAACCTTCGGGTCCTGATGTTTGGGATTCACCAGCACTGTCCTGCCAGACAGTGACGTCCCCCATTTTGTGTCCATTTTGTGTGTCAACGGAAAGCTGTGTGCCACACCAGAGATCCCGTTATAGGAACGGAACATGGGAACAGAACATGGGAAAGGAACATGGGAAAGGATTTGCTGCATTGATGGGACGGGTAGCATGAAGAATGGATCGGAAGGATGAGTAGCAACGGTAGGATCGAGTTGGCACTCAAACATAATTCACTTTTAGTTTTGCTGCTTCGACCAACAGTCATCTTCACTTCAACGCTCTGCTAACTTTAACAGGTTATGAGCCCAAGTAACGACTCCACGCCCAAGGTGGCATAGTTTGACGGCACAAACTATCCGTTATGGGCGTTCAAGATGAGGATGTACCTCATCTCCAAGGGGTTATGCGAAGCTGTTAACGCCACATCTGGCGTCTCCGAGGCGAAGGAGCAGCAGGCGCATGCGGCAATCGTGCTAAACTTGAGCGATACTCAGCTCATGCATGTCATTACAACGAGTAGTGCACGCGAAGCATGGGGAGCACTCGCGCGAGTTCATCGGACCCAAGACATGGCAAGTCGGCTGTGGCTAAAGGAGAAGTTTGCGACTTTCAAGTTTACGGCATCGGACATGGGCGCCAACGTTATGGAGCTGGAGCGGCTCGTGCTGGAAATGAATGGAGCTTCGTGTGGACCAAGTGAAGAAGATACGTGTGCAACGTTGCTGCGAAGTCTCCCGGCGCAATACGAGGGACTGGTGCAGGCTTTTCGCATGAGCGTCACACAATTCAGCTTCAAAGATCTGGTGAGCAAGCTAATCGCCGAGGAAGTGCGCAAGAAGGATTCGACGCGCATTGAAGACGAGACAGCGCTACATGTCGGCAAACGACAGGAGAAGAAAAGCTTTAACAGAAGGAGCGGTGGTCCGCGGAAGACAGGGTCAAGTGTTCAGTGCTTTAATTGTGGTAAGCGCGGACACTACGCGCGAGACTGCAGGAAAAAGAAAGCTGCTAATGGCGAGAGACAAGAAGACCACTCGAATGTGGCGTTCACAGTAACTCAAGGAAATACGAGCGACTGCTGGATCATGGACAGCGGCGCAACGGCGCACGTGTGCAAGGACAAAGACGCGTTTATCGACTATACGGCATCACCGACGGCACGCAATGTGAAAAGCGCGAAAAACAGTGCAAGCTTAAAGGTGCTTGGACAAGGCACGGTGATCTTGCGTGTTTGGAATGGCACGTTATGGATTAATGCCCGGCTGGAAAATACACTACACGTGCAAGATCTCAACAAGAACCTGTTCTCACTGACAGCAGCTACTGCACGCGGGATGACGGTTGAAATCACCAGCGACGGGTGCACTGTTTTAAAGAGCGGGCGAATCGTCGCGACAGGAAAGCGATGTGGTATGCTTATCAATCTAAATGTCGAAGAAAGTCCACAGTGCCATATGGTGGAGGGTGAAGCTGAACTGTGGCACCGCCGACTTGGACACGTGTCATACTCGACTGTGAACAAGCTGATTCAAGACGGCTGCATTAAATGAAAATGCTTGGACTCGAATGTCGTCTGTGACATATGTGCAACAGCCAAGCAAGTACGCAAGACTTTCCACAGCACTAAGGCTGATGCAGAAGCGAGGGAGAGTCATCGTATGGACTCAGTCATATGCTCGGATGTTCTAGGGCCGATAACACCAGCATCAAGATCGAACTATCGATACGTTGCGACGTTCATGATGATGAACAGCCGCTATGCGATGGTGATCCCGCTACGAAAAAAGAGTGAAGTCACGAAAGCATTTAAAAGGTACTGTCACGATGTCAAAATCGAATGCGGTTTGGACGTGAAGGTACTACGCAGTGATAACGGCGGTGAGTACCGTAATGACGAGATGACTCGATTCTGCCATCAAGAGATGATAAAGCAAGAGTTCACAGTGGTGTATAATCCGGAGAAGAATGGCATGGCGGAGCGGCTCAATCGCGCACTAGTCGAGATGACGCGCTGTATGCTGAGCGAATACAAGATGGATAAAACATTCTGGTGTGAGGCGATGCTGACCGCTGTGGATATTCTCAACGTTCTTCCCCGAGCTTCAAGTCCGAACCTAAGCCCGTTCAAGATGGTGTTCAAGCGCAAACCTCGTATGGATATGATGCGCGTATTTAGAAGTCTTTGCTACGCGCATATTCCCAAACAAAATCGGAACAAGTTGGACCCCTCCGGTGTGCGGTGTATGCTGCTCGGATACGCCAAACAACACAAAGCGTATAGACTTCTAAATACAGCGACTGGAAAAGTGTTCGTTTCCCGGAGTGTGACTTTTGTGGAAACTGCCGTGGAACAGACACGCTACGAAGATACGCCTAGTGTAATTGACGTCGTTGGCGATGGCGACGATCTGCAGGATCCGAGGGACCACGCAATAAGCGATGAGGGAACCTGCACGCCGGTACCAGGAAGTCCAATTATGACACCAAATAGTACAGTACCGATGGACAGACCAACCGGAGCAGTAACCACACGACAATCAAGCACACCAGGACGAGACGGCGAACAAGAGTGGAATGTGAGACCAGCACGCAAGAAGCAAGCAATCAAGCGCTACGAGCAAGAGTTTCCCAATCTACGGCGAGGAACCTTCAACCTTGACGACTATGACGCTAGCTACGCGACGCAGTACTGTTTGAGCGCTGAAGAGGATGGTGAAAGCGCATCGACATACTCTCAAGTGTTGGAAAGCAAGTACAAGGACGACTGGATACGTGCAATGAAAAGTGAGATTTAAGCTTTGACACAGCACGACACATGGACGCTTCAAGATTTACCCTCGGACAAAAGATCAATAGGTTGCAAGTGGGTATTTCGCATAAAGCGCAAACCTAACGGAGAAATCGTGAAGTTCAAGGCACGACTCGTAGCGAAGGGATTCTCCTAGCGTCCTGGTGTGGACTATTTTGAGACGTTTGCTCCAGTAGCACGAAAAGAGTCAATCAACGTTGCTATAGCACTTGCGGCCGAGCAAGATTTGATAATGGAGAACGTTGACGTTGACACCGCTTTCCTCTACGGCGAAGTCAAGGAAGAGATCTACATGGATCAGCCGGATGGATTTGTGGACAAGCAACACCGTGACAAGAAGTGTCTGCTAAACAAAGCTTTGTACGGTACAAAGCAAGCGGCACGAGAATGTAATCATCGTCTTAACGCACACCTTGAAAGCCAAGGGTTCACGCGTACGTCTGCCGATCTCTGTGTCTATGTGCGACAATCGGATACTCAATTTAGTCTGGTGATCATTCACGTTGACGACTTGATGCTCTTTGCTCGGACGCAAGAACACATCGATGACATCAAGCGTGCACTGAAGATCGAGTTCAGTATCAAAGAGCTCGGCGAACTGAAGTACTGTCTTGGCATCGATTGACGCGTGATCGCAAGAGAAAATCTATTCGAATGAATCAGCGTGCTTACATCAAGCGTTTGACTGAGAAATTCGGCGTCGACCAATGCAAGGACGTGCACACGCCGTCAAACGAAAGTGAAAAGCTGACCAAGCTGGGGGACGATGATGAATTTGTGCCGAAGTGGCCTTACCGTGAGCTAGTTGGTGCACTTATGTACGTTACAACGTGCACTAGACCAGACATCATGCACGCAGTAGGAGAAGTGGCCAAATACTGTGAAAGGCATGGAAAAATCCACTGGATCGCGGCCAAGCGTGTTCTGAAATACCTGAAGACAACTGCAGATTACAGCATTTTATTCAACGGCAAAGATAAGGGAGAGTTGATCGGTTTTGCTGATGCGTCATGGGCAAGTGACCTGGATTCTCGCCGCTCGACGACAGGCTACGTTTTCTTTCTGCACGGCAATGTGGTGTCGTGGAAGTCGAAGAGACAGCCGACAGTGGCGACTTCTAGCACCGAGGCTGAGTACATAGCATTGTACGCTGCAGCGCAAGAGGCGGTGTGGCTACGACTATTACTGTCCGACATTAGCGTAGAACTTGGAGCGGCTACGACCATCTATGAAGACAATCAAGGCTGTATTGCGCTGGCGAAGAATCCAGTCTACCATGCAAGAACAAACACATCGACATCAAGTATCACTTCCTTCGCGACAAGGTTGAGGAAGGCGTCATTGAGCTTGAGTACATGCCAACAGAAGCGATGATTGCAGACGGCTTGACGAAGGCTCTCGGGCGTACCAAGCATGCCGTTTTTCTGCAAGGTCTACATCTGGAAGTGTAGGCGATTCCAGGCATACATGTGCGCATCAAGGGAGAGTGTTAACATTAGGTGATGCGACATGTGTGATATGGACATTAGGATGGATTAGTGTGTCCATGGGTCAGAGGTTAGTATAAGTAGTACTACACGTAGACCAAGCTTGCTGTAGCTCAAGTGGTTATGTGTGGCAGCCATAACCCAGAGGTCACTGGTTCGATACCCGGCAGCAAAAGTTAAACCTTCGGGTCCTGATGTTTGGGATTCACCAGCACTGTCCTGCCAGACAGTGACGTCCCCCATTTTGTGTCCATTTTGTGTGTCAACGGAAAGCTTTGTGCCACACCAGAGATCCCGTTATAGGAACGGAACATGGGAACGGAACATGGGAAAGGAACATGGGAAAGGAACATGGGAAAGGATTTGCTGCATTGATGGGACGGGTAGCATGAAGAATGGATCGGAAGGATGAGTAGCAACGGTAGGATCGAGTTGGCACTCAAACATAATTCACTTTTGGTTTTGCTGCTTCGACCAACAGTCATCTTCACTTCAACGCTCTGCTAACTTTAATAAATAGCGATACCCATGATCTGCCAAGGCAAGCATCAAGTAAGATGACGGATCGGGATGCGTCTTCCAAGAAGGGACCACCCACGTTGACACCTGAGGATCTAGCACGACAAACAGCAGCCGCCAGGAGAGGACAGGTGTCTGTTGTTGCGGGCCCAACGCTTTTGGCCAATAAACGCCGGGAGCGCTCAACATGTGAGCGGCTAATTAAACAGTTGTCACCAGGGACAAGTCACGTGATCCCCATGGAACCAATGCCTCATGCTGAACCCATGCATGTGACAGAATTGGTACAGATTTTGGGGCTCCGTGAAGTCGCCACACCGGCCACGGGCAATTCTTTGGCGATAGCCATAGCTCAAGCTCTCGCAGAATCTGCTTTGGACAACCCTACCAAGGACCTTGAGATTTTAACGGCTAGTATTAAACGGGGAATCTCCAACGCCGGACTACTAAATTTGGAGGATCAAATGGCTCATGACGTACGGGTTCATGCTTTAAAGAACGTTGGCAGAGGTTGGACGACGATGACCAGGGGGGAGTCTGCGTCCCAACTACGGTGGTTTTTGCATGACTATGCAGCCTCCCCTTCCAACAGAGAAGCCCTGGTTGAGGAGCATAGCTGGGGTGGAAGTGACACTCTTGGAATGGCAGCCAATTTTTTGCATCGCACTATCTATGTGTTGAACTGTGGCCGCGGAACGGGTAACTGGAGTGGTCGCAAGTATTGTCCTGCTACGATCAACAGACACGGTCGAGTAGTGGAAACTGCCAAAGAATTTCCACTCACTCTCTTGGCGTGTATAGACGAGCTGCAAGCGGCAAAAATAGAGGCGCGTCGCGCTCCACCACTGGTGCTTAGATTCTGGGGCCGGCATTATTCGGCTTTTCTGCACACTGCCAGGGCGGCAGATCGGCTCAGCCTAACTGACGTCTCAGACGGAACAGGCTGAGCGCTGAAGCAAGGTCAGGACTCGCAAATTGTGGATACTTTAGCTGTGCAGCTAGAAGAGAAGCGCTCCCATATTTTACCCTCTATCAGGGATCATCTGTCGGTTGTGGATGACAACACTTCGATGATCATCCACTCTTCAAGGAACTGTGGTCTTGCCAAAGCGTCATCGCAGTAATTGGCTATTGTTCCATCGCAGATCAGGGGGGCCAATCAGGGCAGTTCGCTATCGGCTCGAAAACGTGGGCACGTCAGCACGTCGGAGACCATCGAGGTCAGCGAAGGGGAGAACTGGAGTGGACTTGAGAGCTCCAAACAGAAAAAAGGCAGGATCAGCGTTGCTTCTCCTCAACCCTATATCACTCGAATGGAGGAACGAATGGATACCGACGACTGGCCGGATCTCTGGCAGGCTCTGGGCGTTGTATGGCCAGTAACGGCTTCTACGCCATATCCACTAGTGTATGGTAACCCTGAGGCGTGGCTGAAAACTGCCCAGGTCGAGCCAGAGCTGCTGCTCCATCACGTGCGACGCTTTGTTTTCCCGGGTGAATTGCTGGCTAGCCTAGGGGATCACGTTCTCGGGATGTGGACGGCTCAGTGGCGACAGGCGTGCTTGCTGTCTGGTCTACTTGAGTACAGGCTTCGAGTGCAAGATTCTATACAATCACTGTGTCTAGATCAATGGATCGTGCGAACACAGCAGCGATTGCCTTCCTCCCGGCTATCCCCATTAATCGACAATACCGACGATTGGGTCAAGCTGAGGGAGGTAGACTACGCTACCGATGATATTTTGCGTCTTTGTGACCCTCACCAACGTATACGCCTGAGTTATCACCTACTATGTGCGGTATTGTTCGACGCTGAGATTTTTGGCGCTGACCGGGGATGGGGAAAAACCACTTGAGCCTCCCGAGCAACTTCGAGGGCACCTACGCTTACTTCGGAAGAACAGTCACTACAAGGAGGTGTATTACGCTGACGGGGGATCCAAGGTGGATTGGCGCAAGCTGGTTTGCTTCTTTAATACTGCGTTGGCTCCTGCAGAGCAGCATTTCTACTTGAGTACTAAGGGCAGCTTACGGAGCAACGAGGCCTTCAGGCCCGGTGGTGCAACACTCGACGCATCGGACGCCTATGGCCGCCATCTCTTGCTTAAGGAATGGACCAATTCTTTCGAGCCAGTTACATCTCGGCTCCAAGGCTGGATGGGTGACATGCTTTACATATCTCAAAATGTACGAGGATTCAAGGACAGCGTGCGCGACAGTTGGATGTCGGGTTGGCGGGCTAAGACAAATCGACACAGAACAGGGGCTTGGTGCATCCAGGACACACATTTGCACACAGAAGCAGAGGCAACTCGGCTGCGATATCAGTGGGCTCGACTATGGGGTCAGCATCTTAACCCGACTTCCACTGTCCTATCGTACTGGAGTATTGGCTCGTCAAAACGGGCAGGAGTTGCTATTCTACTCACTCCACAAATTGCAACACATACAACGGCCTGGTTACCGGATTTCTGGACCACACGCGCGATCGCTGTATCTATGGGGGGGGAAGTCCTTGTGAATGTGTACGCTCCTACTTTGCGGTCCGAGCGAGAGGCTTTTTTTACCTCCCTGCTGACCTTAAATCTAGACCCCTCCAATACGATGATCGTCGGCGACTTTAATTGCGTCCAGAGTCCCCTTCTGGATCGATTTGGGAAGTATCGCTCCAACCGGTCCGAAAGCCCGTCCCTGGACCACGTTGTGTCTACGATAGGATTGGCTGATGCACGATGGCTTCGCGAACACGCAGACGACGACTCAATGGATACTTTTGTGGACCATTTCACATACTGGGAAGGGGATAGGGCTAGTCGTATTGACAGATTTTATGTACCGGAAGGCTGGGTGGACCGCGTCCTGTGGGTTGAGACGCGCTTACCTTCAAATTTGTCGGACCATCAGGAGGATGTTCTCCACCTGCAAAAACCAACCAGGCGTCGCCCTCATATTTGACGTGATAGGGTGGTGTATCCCATCACAGCATCGAACCCCGATAACATTATAGCAGAACTTGTCGAGGAAATGGATGGCATGGCTGTTGGTCAAGCTTTACCTACCAGGACTTGGGATCTAGACGTTGCTGAGTGTGTACGCTGTATTCGGCGTGTCAGTAAGAGGGTGAAGCAGCGCAGGGCTCGATTTCGCCATAACATTCAGAGACGGGCACAGCAGCACTTGCCTACCCGGCCACAATGGATATCCTGTAAGATGGAAGAATTGCGTCAGGAACATATTGTACGACTAGGTCAACAGCTGGTCAGGACAACAGATCGGTTACGGTTTTTTTATCGCAAAATAGCCGACTGGGAGCGCGAGCAAACCGTCACCGGTATTAAGCAGCTTCATGGACCGGTTTTTGGTCGCAACATGTCGACGGCAGATAAATTTGCCTCAGAGTGGTCCACTGTTTTAGGCGTGGTACATCGCAGTACCCCTTTGGAAGCCTTACCAGCCACCATTCGTCATTTTGTTCAAGTTCCCACCCAACGGGTACTTTCTTCGAGCGAGAATCGGTCTTTAATGGCCGATTTCACTGAAGATGAGGTTATTACAGCCATCACGGGCCTATGTCGACATAAATCGGCTGGATCTGATGGTTTAAACAAAGACTTTTACATGGATACGCCGGCGCTTTTGGTTCCAGCCCTGGTGCGAATCAGTAATCAAATATTGGCGGGCTCAGATCCTCCACCTTCTTTTCTGGAAGCGCTGATCATACCTTTGCGGAAGAAAGGTGACTCAGCGGATGCTATGGATTACAGACCTATTTCGCTACTTCAGACCAGTTACAAAATCTTCGCGAAGGTGCTGGCGACTAGGTTACAAGTTGTATTACCTAAAGTCATTGGTGACTCACAACAAGGTTTCGTCCATGGCAGGCAGATGTTGAAGTCTGTCCTGATGATGCTTTCCCAACTGGCAACGGCTTCTTCGGATTCAACTCTCGACGCGATTAATAGCAGGGTCATCCTTCTACTTGATTTTCGAAAGGCATATGATACTGTGGACAGAAGCTTTCTTTACGAGGCGCTTCGACAATTTGGATTTGAGGAACGATATATTCAGCTAATTACTCGGCTGCATGAAGGGACTACGGCTACATTCCTTGTAAATGGGGAACGGTCCAGTCCAATATCCGTCGTGTCAGGAATTCGGCAAGGCTGCCCTCTGGCCCCTTTGCTATTCCTCGTGGTGGTCGAGTTGTTGGGAATTGCAGTTCAGCAGTCTCCCATCTTGAAAGGACTCCCGGTCCCAGGTAGCCGTACTCAAACGCACCGCTTCTCAGCGTTTGTCGACGACTCCACGATTTTTCTCGAGCAAGAGAATCAGCTGGCACCGGCTCTTGCCCTCGTATCACGCTTTGGGGCCTTATCTGGACTGGAAGCTCAGCCGTCGAAGAGCAAAATCATACTCTTTAACACAGGGGTGCAGATGCGAGAAATGGTTGGCATTTCGGTGCTAAACCAGACAGAAACAGTAAGGTACCTGGGCTATGAGGCTGGTCTTGGTGCCTTACATAACCTCAATTGGGCTTTAAGGATTCGAAGGCTTCAACGGCGGCTAATCACAGCTTCCAGGTTCGCGACTAGTGTGGAGAATCGAGTGTTGATTCTAAACTCCATCATTCTTCCATCCATTTTATTCACGGCAGCGGTATTTGACATCCCAGAATGGGCGAGGCAGGCAATCCAAAATTTGTACAAACAATTTTTGTGGGCTCATGCTACTTCGACAGAAGCTAGCAGGCACAAGATCAACCCAGGACTGCTTTTCACTCCGAAACACGCAGGCGGAGTAGGGCTGGCTTCATTCGAGGTCGCAATCAAAACTCAGCACACGAAACATGCACTGCGGTGGCTAACGCAAGCCCAGGACAAGTATTTTGCCTCTTGGTGTCACTGGCTTATCAAGGTAGGCCAACTTCCTCATCCCTGGTCCTGTATGGAAGGGGTATACCAGGGATTACATCTTCTTGCACTTCGAAGCCGTCGAAACCAGCATGGATACAAGACATGGACAAGCTTTTGCAACCCACGACGGAGCAATTGAATTTTATTCGAGATCGCGTCCGCATGCACTATTCGACTTTGCTCGAAGGAGCCAGTAGCTGGTGGGAAGAAGATGAATGGGTATTATCTTACCATCACCCTTTTCCGGAAGCATTAGCATCCAACGACGTCCAAGTACTGGCACTGCACCGCTTTTGGGGAACGTTTGGATGGAGTAACAATTCGTGGATTCGCGACGGGCAGGGTCGGCAGCTTGTACGCTCCAAATACGACCGGATAGCTGACTGCTCCATCTCGGACTTGCACATTCGCAGAACCGGACCGAAAGAGTTTATCTTCAATATCTCACTGGCTGGATCTGCCTCTAAGCATCACTATTAGCCGAAGTTAAGGCGCTGGGCTACATCTATCTTGCTCGCGTCGCCTTCTATTCGAATTGGGTCGGAACTAGCGCTGGAACCGAAGTTAGCACTTCGTCATGCGCCTCCGTTTCGGTATCATTTTGACTTTTCGACGGTGCGACATGGTTACGTCGTCGGGAATAGACGGGAGTCTGCGGATAACGGGTGTGAGCACGTCAAATTGCGGCAAAGTGCCGACGGATTTAGATGGTTTTTACCACATCATTACCTGAGTTGGTTACTGAAACTGTCGCTGAGAGGGACATTTGGATAAGCCGACTGCGGTTACATGGTGTCGTGTTTTATTCACATCCTGATCATCATCGATTTCCCTGGGCTGTGGCCAACACGGTGGCGAACGTTTCGATTAGGGCGACAATTGCCCGGCTAGCGTTCAGACTTCACAAACGACTGCTTGCTGTCCCTTTGAAAGGGCTGATCCAACGGTTGAAACAAGTCATCAGCAAGGATGGCTGGTTGCGTGCAGCAGCTAATCAACGCCCGTCTCAAGTTTGGAACCATACTAATGGCCTTTCGGATTTTCAAGTCTGGACTTGCTACAGAATCGCCACTAATCAACTTAACCTCTACCATGATGGCCGTCGCGCTGACAACAGCTGTCGAGCGCTGATGGAGTGTTGGGGGCGTAAAGAAACGTCGGCTCACATCTTTTGGGAATGTCCAAAGGCGCGCGCCTGCTGGAGGCGACTTATCTGTCACTGGACGGGTCTCCGAGATGTGAGGTCTGTTGATGAGACCTGGTATTTTGGCAGTGTGAATCGTCAGGCTCCTGCATTACCGGCCAGGCAGCGACAACGCCTACATGAACATTTACAAGACGACTTGGAAGCGGGGTCATGGTTTGGAATCGCATATGGTTTATTATGTGTAGCGTCTGTTTAACTCACTTATGGAGTGAACGAAACGACGCAGTATTTCAAGGTGTGCGGACGACGGTTATTCACAGCGTCACCCGTTTTTGGAAGGTGGGGATTCGGCATCTCAGCGCGTTAGCGAAACGCGAACATCGGGGTCCCGACACAGTCGTCGCCGGGGCTCTCTTACATGCCTGTCTTGACCTCTTCACTCTCGAACCGCGGGATGAGGTGGTCTTCGCAGGAAGCAGCTACGACAAGCTACCGGATCCGGAGCTCTTGTCCTGGCTCCAGAGTTTTCAGACATCTCGTACATAGGTAAATGTTAATAGACTGTCATGAAATCTCTCAGATCAATAGTTGTCGTCGTAACAAACACTCCCACTCCGCAGGGCCGTGTCGATACAAACCGAAACACAGCACCATCGACCAGACGTTTGCATGTTCAATCAGGTTGTTTCAGAGAGACTCCTCTCAAATGCGTCGGTCACTCTTTTCTAACAACCAACATGCGATGTGGAACAATCACTCCCACGGAGACAATTCTCCACAAAACAGTGTCTATCATTCGACTACCAGTACACACTGACACGTTTTGGTCTGGACATCTGTTTGCGATTCTGAGCTTTCCTTCCATTGACTGGTCGAGATTTTAGGTTCTCCCCCGACAGCAAACTACGCTTCAGTGACCCTCACTTCAAGATTCGAGACAGTTCGCTAGTGTACGCCATTAGGATGTCTTCCTAATGGAAGACATCGTGGCTGTTTTGACACTGTCGAGGATCGATCAGCGTTGCTACACAAGGGACGAAAACAAGATTCGTCCGTTTTCAGCAGAGCCTGGACGAAAGGATCCGGGATTCAGAGCTGTAGTTTTCAGAACATGGTAGCGGAATACCAAAGGTTGCCGTCCACCGACAGCTAGAGCCAAGTATTGTACTATTGCGGTGATGAGAAAGTAGGAAAAAGCAACGCTCGTCCGCCCGTATGGTTGTGCTGATGTTGTCGTACCGCTGCGTAACCTTCATTTGGCAAGGCATGAGGTACAGCGACGGATGGTAAAGCCCGCGACATCGTATGCCCTATGCAATCGGCTGGATCCATTACCTTAGATTGAGCTGTGAATTTCGAAATGAAGTAAATCGTGATGTGGCAAACCAAATGTCATTTGCGATTAGAACCGTAGGCTACCAGCGAGTTTGTGTGAATGCAATGTATTGGGCTACCTACTGCGTCAGTCAAGCATCATCTTCAGTCATTTCTGCATGTGATCACAACGATGCCTCCGGCAACGCGACAGGAAGAGCTGAAACACCAGTTTCGGCATCTTCAGTAACCGCGCTTTCGCTCAAAAGACCAGGGACAAGCGTGAGAATGTCAGGGACCACCGAGAGGATATCCGGGACCACCGAGAGAATGTCAGGAACGACGGTCAGGATGTCGGGAACGACGGTCAAGACATCCGGGACGACCGTCAAGGTATCGGGGACAACCGTCAAGATGTCTGGGAGTATCGTCAAGATGTCTGGGACAACCGTCAAGATGTCTGGGATCACCGTCAGGGTGTCTGGGATCAGCGTTAAAATGTCGGGGATAATCGTCAGGATGTCAGGGACTACCGTTACGATATCCGGAATGATGTCAGGAGAAACGTCCGTCTGGTCCGTCTTGTAAGCTGGGGCAGACAGGTAGTCGTCGTGGGCGCCATAAGCTTGATCGGATTGCTTGTACGGGTGGTTCTTTTCAGTCGTGTGAGTCTGCTCAGCTGAGTAATCATTGTGAGTCGAGTGAGAATGTTGAATCGGATGGGTCTGCTCAGCCGAATACGTCTGGTGAGTCGAGTACACATGCTCCGACGGAAGAGCCTGCTCAGGTGAGTATGTCTGGTGAGTCGAGTACACATGATCAGATGGGTGAACCTGCTCAGCTGAGTAAGCATGCTGGTCAATCGAGTACACGTGCTCGGACGGATGAGTCAGATGAATTGGATGCGTCTGCTCAGCCCCATAGGCATGCTCCGTTGAGTGCATGTGTCCAGTCGAGTGGGAGTCTCCCGTCGAGTAAGCGTGTTGAGGTGGGTACGCTTCATCAACTAGGAGATTCTGTTGAAATGAGTAGCCGTCTCCTGTTTGATAAGCTTCTCCAACATGGTCGTCGATAGTGTCATATGCCTTGTGAATCGCGTGCGAGCCCGTCGTTTCGTGAGCCACGTGTATCTTTCCGCCCGGACCACCCACGGAAATGTCGGTGTCTTCGCAAGGCTCAGTAGGCTCAGCTTCATAGCCGTACCCGCCGTCCACGTGTTCTAGAGCCGTGCTGTATCCTTCACCACCAGACTGGAAGTGATCGGACGTGCTGTCTGTTCTGTCATGGTGTTGCCAGTGGTGTCCAGACGCGGCGTCTTTGCTGTGATGGTGCTGACCGTAGTGATCCGTCGTTTCGTCACCATCCGCATGCGTGTAGCTCTTGTCAACGGTGGGAGCTCCGTGGTCGCCGGTGCTTTCACCGTAGTTGGTAGTATAGGTCGTAGCGCTCCGTTCTCACTGGTTGCGCCAAAGTCAACCGATTCCTGGTTGACGCCCGTCGTCGTCATGGTTGTAGCACCATAGTCGCCGTAAGTGGCACCATCCATCGTCGTACCACCAGCAGTGCCGCCGTGGCTTTCGGTGGTCGTGCTGATGCCCTCGTATCCTGTTGCAGTGACACCAGCAATTTCATCTGACGCCACATCACAGTTTACACTGAGCGGCTCGTCTTGAGTCGGGTCGTAATCAGCTCCTCCAGCACTGTACACCGCCGCCGTTTCGGCATCCGCGGCAGAAGTGTATCCCGTATGAGGGAACGCGCACCCCCACGTGTCGTCGACCACGATGATGCACTGCGCATCAGTCGGGGCGACACACGCTGATCCGTTGTAGGATAACAAGTATGGTTGGCAGTCAGCAGAAGCGACGTCTCCAGCCATCGGACAGCTCGTGCCCGCCGGCGCAGCTCTGTTTCCTGAGCATGACAAGCCGCGAGATTCCGGTAGCATATAGGTGGCATCGTGTTGCACGGAGATTGGGACGTCGGCGGAGGCAAGGGTCGAAACCAGGAGGCCGGCCAGGGCCAAGCGTTGTGAAGTCATCAGACGCTTTGAAGTGACGGTTGATGTGGTTGCCCGAGCGTTAATCGGGGAATGAGACTACGAGCTGCTGCAGTTCACACACCATGGTCTGTTACGGCAGAACGAAGGGGTCAAGCGTAGAAAAGGAAAGTCTAATGAATCATGTCATGATGGTTTGCGAGGCGTTTCGATCCGGTAAAACGATGTTTACAGTCTCGCATGTAACTCGTGTCAATCGTTTCGAGAAAGTCTCGGAGTTTAGAGCGTATTGCCCGCATAACTATTCAGCTCCGCAACTCTAAGTCTGTGCCGCCCCTCGTTTCGATGAAGGTTCTGGACAGCAGATCCACCATGTATGCAAGTCACCTCTATCGTCTACGCTTCTCTTTGATCGAAAGCGTCCACTTCTTTCACGACCGCGGCTCACCATCGCTGGCAGACTGACTTCAGCTCACATTTAGTTTCAAGAGTTGGCGTTCGAAACATTGCCATTAGTTTCGCCTACAAAGGTAGCGAGAGCAGAAAGTAATGGTGTCCCACCAGGCTTATGCTTGTCATCTAACACTATGTGTGCATGCGGCGCGGAAAAGAAAATGCGAGGTATGACGCGCGTTTCGATTGAACAGGTGTTGAGCTCAAATGTACGTTGCTGAGTCACGTAGCGCCCCGACGTCAACGACGGGCGACATCCGTTTGTTCTGGCTTCACGTGCAGCTAGTTTGTGAATACCGGCACGGATCGGGACCGGCATCAAGAGTTTTGCATTGTTGCAATAGCATCTCATGCTCACTTGAAAGAAGTTCTATCGACCATTGCAACATACGGTCGATTGTGCGTCAACGTTTGCTTCTTTAGTTGCACAAGGTAGAAATCGGGTGCTGCGTCCGCTAGTCTCACCGATATTTGCCCTACACCCTTCCCCAAGCTACCAAAAAGATGTGAGCCAGGTGTCGGTCAAACTATGGTGCATGTCCACGCTTGGCAAGGCACCATCATCCGGAACAGAGCATCTGGACCAATGGACGAAAGGACAATAATTGACGAAGGAGGGATCCGACATGACTTCAGAAACGTTATCTTAGGTGTCGCTCGAACTGTTACCGCACATGCAGATGTTGCGAACGCATCCAATCGGATCGACGGAGACACCATCGATGTCCTTCTTGCTGCATTCCTTCGCGTACTTTTGTGTAAAAATCACCGAGTTCGCTCTGATGAGCTATGGCAGGTTTTCCGAGAAAGAAAAGACCCAAGATCATTAAAATCGTTGAAAATCTACGTTTGCATGTAACACAAACTCCTTTGAACCGTACTGAGCGAGCCTTCGCTTTGCCTAATGCTGCGTAAACATGACGCATGTTGAATGTGTTGAACGACTGCTCAGCAGATCAATAGTTGTCGTCGTAACAAACACTCCCACTCCGCAGGGCCGTGTCGATACAAACCGAAACACAGCACCATCGACCAGACGTTTGCATGTTCAATCAGGTTGTTTCAGAGAGACTCCTCTCAAATGCGTCGGTCACTCTCGTCTAACAACCAACATGCGATGTGGAACAATCACACCCACGGAGACAATTCTCCACAAAAAACTGTCTATCATTCGACTACCAGTACACACTGACATGTTTTGGTCTGGACATCTGTTTGCAATTCCGAGCTTTCCTTCCATTGACTGATCGAGATTCTAGGTTCTCCCCCGACAGCAAACTACGCTTCAGTGACCCTCACTTCAATATTTGAGACAGTCCGCTTGTAGTAGCCATTAGGATGTCTTCCTAATGGAAGACATCGTGGCTGTTTTGACACTGTCGAGGATCGATCAGCGTTACTACACGAAGGACGAAAACAAGATACGTCCGTTTTCAGCAGAGCCTGGACGAAAGGATCCGGGATTCAGAGCTGTAGTTTTCAGAACATGGTAGCGGAATACCAAAGGTTGCCGTCCACCGACAACTAGAGCCAAGTATTGTACCATTGCGGTGATAAGAAAGCAGGAAAAAGCAACGCTCGTCGGCCCTTACGGTTGTGCTGATGTTGTCGTGCCGCTGCGTAACCTTCATTTGGCAAGGCATGAGGTACAGCGACGGATGGTAAAAGTCCACGACATCGTGTGCCCTATGCAATCGGCTGGATCCATTACCTTAGATTGAGCTGTGAATTTCGAAATGAAGTAAATCGTGATGTGGCAAACCAAATGTCATTTGCGATTAGAACCGTAGGCCACCAGCGAGTTTGTGTGAATGCAATGTATTGGGCTACCTACTGCGTCAGTCAAGCATCGTCTTCAGTCATTTCTGCATGTGATCACAACGATGCCTCCGGCAACGCGACAGGAAGAGCTGAAACGTCAGTTTCGGCATCTTCAGTAACCGCGCTTTCGCTCAAAAGACCAGGGACACCCGTGAGAATGTCAGGGACCACCGAGAGGATATCCGGGACCACCGAGAGGATGTCAGGAACGACGGTCAGGATGTCGGGAACGACGATCAGGACATCCGGGACGACCGTCAAGATATCGGGGACAACCGTCAAGATGTCTGGGAGTATCGTCAAGATGTCTGGGACAACCGTCAAGATGTCTGGGATCACCGTCAGGGTGTCTGGGATCAGCGTTAAAATGTCGGGGATAATCGTCAGGATGTCAGGGACTACCGTTACGATATCCGGAATGATGTCAGGAGAAACGTCCGTCTGGTCCGTCTTGTAAGCTGGGGCAGACAGGTAGTCGTCGTGGGCGCCATAAGCTTGATCGGATTGCTTGTACGGGTGGTTCTTTTCAGTCATGTGAGTCTGCTCAGCTGAGTAATCATTGTGAATCGAGTGAGAATGTTCAATCGGATGGGTCTGCTCAGCCGAGTACGTCTGGTGAGTCGAGTACACATGCTCCGACGGAAGAGCCTGCTCAGGTGAGTATGTCTGGTGAGTCAAGTACACATGATCAGATGGGTGCACCTGTTCAGCTGAGTAAGTGTGCTGGTCAGTCGAGTACACGTGCTCAGACGGATAAGTCAGATGAATTGGATGCGTCTGCTCATCCCCATAAGCATGCTCCGTTGAGTGCATGTGTCCAGTCGAGTGGGAGTCTCCCGTCGAGTAATCGTGTTGGGATGGGTACGCTTCATCAACTAGGTGATTCTGTTCAAATGAGTAGCCGTCTCCTGTTTGATAAGCTTCTCCAACATGGTCATCGATAGTGTCATATGCCTTGTGAATCGTGTGCGAGCCCGTCGTTTCGTGAGCCACGTGTATCTTTCCGCCCGGACCACCCACGGAAATGTCGGTGTCTTCGCAAGGCTCAGTAGGTTCAGCTTCATAGCCGTACCCGCCGTACCCGCCGTCCACGTGTTCTAGATCCGTGCTGTATCCTTCACCACCAGACTGGTAGTGATCGGACGTGCTGTCTGTTCTGTCATGGTGTTGCCAGTGGTGTCCAGACGCGGCGTCTTTGCTGTGATGGTGCTGACCGTAGTGATCCGTCATTTCGTCACCAACCGCATGCGTGTAGCTCTTGTCAACGGTGGGAGCTCCGTGGTCGCCGGTGCTTTCACCGTAGTTGGTAGTATAGGTCGTAGCGCCACCGTTCTCACTGGTTGCGCCAAAGTCAACCGATTCATGGTTGACGCCCGTCGTCGTCATGGTTGTAGCACCATAGTTACCGTAAGTGGCACCATCCATCGTCGTACCACCAGCAGTGCCGCCGTTGCTATCGGTGGTCGTGCTGATGCCCTCGTATCCTGCTGCAGTGACACCAGCAATTTCATCGGACGCCACATCGCAGTTCACACTGAGCGGCTCGTCCTGAGTCGGGTCGTAATCAGCGCCTCCAGCACTGTACACCGCCGCCGTTTCGGCATCTGCGGCAGAAGTGTATCCCGTATGAGGGAACGCGCACCCCCACGTGTCGTCCATCACGATGATGCACTGCGCATCAGTCGGGGCGACACACGCCGATCCGTTGTAGGATAACAAGTATGGTTGGCAGTCAGCAGAAGCGACGTCTCCAGCCATCGGACAGCTCGTTCCCGCCGGCGCAGCTCTGTTTCCTGAGCATGACAAGCCGCGAGATTCCGGTAGCATATAGGTGGCATCGTGTTGCACGGAGATTGGGACGTCGGCGGAGGCAAGGGCCGAAACCAGGAGGCCGGCCAGGGCCAAGCGTTGTGAAGTCATCAGACGCTTTGAAGTGACGGTTGATGTGGTTGCCCGAGCGTTAATTGGGGAATGAGACTACGAGCTGCTGCAGTTCACACACCATGGTCTGTTACGGCAGAACGAAGGGGTCAAGCGTAGAAAAGGAAAGTCTAATGAATCATGTCATGATGGTTTGCGAGGCGTTTCGATCCGGTAAAACGATGTTTACAGTCTCGCATGTAACTCGTGTCAATCGTTTCGAGAAAGTCTCGGAGTTTAGAGCGTATTGCCCGCATAACTATTCAGCTCCGCAACTCTAAGTCTGTGCCGCCCCTCGTTTCGATGAAGGTTCTGGACAGCAGATCCACCATGTATGCAAGTCACCTCTATCGTCTACGCTTCTCTTTGATCGAAAGCGTCCACTTCTTTCACGACCGCGGCTCACCATCGCTGGCAGACTGACTTCAGCTCACATTTAGTTTCAAGAGTTGGCGTTCGAAACATTGCCATTAGTTTCGCCTACAAAGGTAGCGAGAGCAGAAAGTAATGGTGTCCCACCAGGCTTATGCTTGTCATCTAACACTATGTGTGCATGCGGCGCGGAAAAGAAAATGCGAGGTATGACGCGCGTTTCGATTGAACAGGTGTTGAGCTCAAATGTACGTTGCTGAGTCACGTAGCGCCCCGACGTCAACGACGGGCGACATCCGTTTGTTCTGGCTTCACGTGCAGCTAGTTTGTGAATACCGGCACGGATCGGGACCGGCATCAAGAGTTTTGCATTGTTGCAATAGCACTCTCATGCTCACTTGAAAGAAGTTCTATCGACCATTGCAACATACGGTCGATTGTGCGTCAACGTTTGCTTCTTCAGATGCACAAGGTAGAAATCGGGTGCTGCGTCCGCTAGTCTCACCGACATTTCCTCTACATCCTTCCCCAAGCTACCAAAAAGATGCGAGCAAGATGTCGGTCAAACTATGGTGCATGCCCACGCTTTGCAAGACACCATCATCCGGAACAGAGCATCTGGACCAATGGACGAAAGGACAATAATTGACGAAGGAGGGATCCGACATGACTTCAGAAACGTTATCTTAGGTGTCGCTCGAACTGTTACCGCACATGCAGATGTTGCGAACGCATCCAATCGGATCGACGGAGACACCATCGATGTCCTTCTTGCTGCATTCCTTCGCGTACTTTTGTGTAAAAATCACCGAGTTCGCTCTGATGAGCTATGGCAGGTTTTCCGAGAAAGAAAAGACCCAAGATCATTAAAATCGTTGGAAATCTACATTTGCATGTAACACAAACTCCTTTGAACCGACCTGAGCGAGCCTTCGCTTTGCCTAATGCTGCGTAAACATGACGCATGTTGAATGTGTTGAACGACTGCTCAGCAGATCAATAGTTGTCGTCGTAACAAACACTCCCACTCCGCAGGGGGCCGTGTCGATACAAACCGAAACACAGCACCATCGACCAGACGTTTGCATGTTCAATCAGGTTGTTTCAGAGAGACTCCTCTCAAATGCGTCGGTCACTCTCGTCTAACAACCAACATGCGATGTGGAACAATCACACCCACGGAGACAATTCTCCAAAAAACACTGTCTATCATTCGACTACCAGTACACACTGACATGTTTTGGTCTGGACATCTGTTTGCAATTCCGAGCTTTCCTTCCATTGACTGATCGAGATTCTAGGTTCTCCCCCCGACAGCAAACTACGCTTCAGTGACCCTCACTTCAATATTTGAGACAGTCCGCTTGTAGTAGCCATTAGGATGTCTTCCTAATGGAAGACATCGTGGCTGTTTTGACACTGTCGAGGATCGATCAGCGTTACTACACGAAGGACGAAAACAAGATACGTCCGTTTTCAGCAGAGCCTGGACGAAAGGATCCGGGATTCAGAGCTGTAGTTTTCAGAACATGGTAGCGGAATACCAAAGGTTGCCGTCCACCGACAACTAGAGCCAAGTATTGTACCATTGCGGTGATAAGAAAGCAGGAAAAAGCAACGCTCGTCGGCCCAGGCGGTTGTGCTGATGTTGTCGTGCCGCTGCGTAACCTTCATTTGGCAAGGCATGAGGGTACAGCGACGGATGGTAAAAGTCCACGACATCGTGTGCCCTATGCAATCGGCTGGATCCATTTGCCTTAGATTGAGCTGTGAATTTCGAAATGAAGTAAATCGTGATGTGGCAAAACCAAATGTCAGGTTTGCGATTAGAACCGTAGGCCACCAGCGAGTTTGTGTGAATGCAATGTATTGGGCTACCTACTGCGTCAGTCAAGCATCATCTTCAGTCATTTCTGCATGTGATCACAACGATGCCTCCGGCAACGCGACAGGAAGAGCTGAAACGTCAGTTTCGGCATCTTCAGTAACCGCGCTTTCGCTCAAAAGACCAGGGACAACCGTGAGAATGTCAGGGACCACCGAGAGGATATCCGGGACCACCGAGAGGATGTCAGGAACGACGGTCAAGACGTCTGGGACAACCGTCAGGGTGTCTGGGATCAGCGTCAAGATGTCTGGGAGTACCGTCAAGATGTCCGGGAGTATCGTCAAGATGTCCGGAAGTATCGTCAAGATGTCCGGAACCACCGTCAAGATGTCTGGGAGTATCGTCAAGATGTCTGGAACCACTGTCAAGATGTCTGGGATCAGCGTTAAAATGTCGGGGACAATCGTCAGGATGTCAGGGACTACCGTTACGATATCCGGAATGATGTCAGGAGAAACGTCCGTCTGATCCGTCTTGTAAGCTGGGGCAGACAGGTAGTCGTCGTGGGCGCCATAAGCTGGATCGGATTGCTTGTACGGGTGGTTCTTTTCAGTCATGTGAGTCTGCTCAGCTGAGTAATCATTGTGAATCGAGTGAGAATGTTGAATCGGATGGGTCTGCTCAGCCGAGTACGTCTGGTGAGTCGAGTACACATGCTCCGACGGAAGAGCCTGCTCAAGTGAGTATGTCTGGTGAGTCGAGTACACATGATCAGATGGGTGCACCTGTTCAGCTGAGTAAGTGTGCTGGTCAGTCGAGTACACGTGCTCAGACGGATGAGTCAGATGAATTGGATGCGTCTGCTCATCCCCATAAGCATGCTCCGTTGAGTGCATGTGTCCAGTCGAGTGGGAGTCTCCCGTCGAGTAAGCGTGTTGAGATGGGTACGCTTCATCAACTAGGTGATTCTGTTGAAATGAGTAGCCGTCTCCTGTTTGATAAGCTTCTCCAACATGGTCATCGATAGTGTCATATGCCTTGTGAATCGCGTGCGAGCCCGTCGTTTCGTGAGCCACGTGTATCTTTCCGCCCGGACCACCCACGGAAATGTCGGTGTCTTCGCAAGGCTCAGTAGGTTCAGCTTCATAGCCGTACCCGCCGTACCCGCCGTCCACGTGTTCTAGATCCGTGCTGTATCCTTCACCACCAGACTGGTAGTGATCGGACGTGCTGTCTGTTCTGTCATGGTGTTGCCAGTGGTGTCCAGACGCGGCGTCTTTGCTGTGATGGTGCTGACCGTAGTGATCCGTCGTTTCGTCACCAACCGCATGCGTGTAGCTCTTGTCAACGGTGGGAGCTCCGTGGTCGCCGGTGCTTTCACCGTAGTTGGTAGTATAGGTCGTTGCGCCACCGTTCTCACCGGTTGCGTCAAAGTCAACCGATTCCTGGTTGACGCCCGTCGTCGTCATGGTTGTAGCACCATAGTTACCGTAAGTGGCACCATCCATCGTCGTACCACCAGCAGTGCCGCCGTGGCTATCGGTGGTCGTGCTGATACCCTCGTATCCTGTCGCAGTGACACCAGCAATTTCATCTGAAGCCACATCACAGTTCACACTGAGCGGCTCGTCCTGAGTCGGGTCGTAATCAGCGCCTCCAGCACTGTACACCGCCGCCGTTTCGGCATCTGCGGCAGAAGTGTATCCCGTATGAGGGAACGCGCACCCCCACGTGTCGTCTATCACGATGATGCACTGCGCATCAGTCGGGGCGACACACGCCGATCCGTTGTAGGATAGCAAGTATGGTTGGCAGTCAGCAGAAGCGACGTCTCCAGCCATCGGACAGCTCGTGCCCGCCGGCGCAGCTCTGTTTCCTGAGCATGACAAGCCGCGAGATTCCGGTAGCATATAGGTGGCATCGTGTTGCACGGAGATCGGGACGTCGGCGGAGGCAAGGGCCGAAACCAGGAGGCCGGCCAGGGCCAAGCGTTGTGAAGTCATCAGACGCTTTGAAGTGACGGTTGATGTGGTTGCCCGAGCGTTAATCGGGGAATGAAACTACGAGCTGCTGCAGTTCACACACCCACACACCATGGTCCGTTACGGCAGGACGAAGGGGTCAAGCGTAGAAAAGGAAAGTCTAATGAATCATGTCATGATGGTTTGCGAGGCGTTTCGATCCGGTAAAACGATGTTTACAGTCTCGCATGTAACTCGTGTCAATCGTTTCGAGAAAGTCTCGGAGTTTAGAGCGTATTGCCCGCATAACTATTCAGCTCCGCAACTCTAAGTCTGTGCCGCCCCTCGTTTCGATGAAGGTTCTGGACAGCAGATCCACCATGTTTGCAAGTCACCTCTATCGTCTACGCTTCTCTTTGATCGAAAGCGTCCACTTCTTTCACGACCGCGGCTCACCATCGCTGGCAGACTGACTTCAGCTCACATTTAGTTTCAAGAGTTGGCGTTCGAAACATTGCCATTAGTTTCGCCTACAAAGGTAGCGAGAGCAGAAAGTAATGGTGTCCCACCAGGCTCATGCTTGTCATCTAACACTATGTGTGCATGCGGCGCGGAAAAGAAAATGCGAGGTATGACGCGCGTTTCGATTGAACAGGTGTTGAGCTCAAATGTACGTTGCTGAGTCACGTAGCGCCCCGACGTCAACGACGGGCGACATCCGTTTGTTCTGGCTTCACGTGCAGCTAGTTTGTGAATACCGGCACGGATCGGGACCGGCATCAAGAGTTTTGCATTGTTGCAATAGCATCTCATGCTCACTTGAAAGAAGTTCTATCGACCATTGCAACATACGGTCGATTGTGCGTCAACGTTTGCTTCTTCAGATGCACAAGGTAGAAATCGGGTGCTGCGTCCGCTAGTCTCACCGACATTTCCTCTACATCCTTCCCCAAGCTACCAAAAAGATGCGAGCAAGATGTCGGTCAAACTATGGTGCATGCCCACGCTTTGCAAGACACCATCATCCGGAACAGAGCATCTGGACCAATGGACGAAAGGACAATAATTGACGAAGGAGGGATCCGACATGACTTCAGAAACGTTATCTTAGGTGTCGCTCGAACTGTTACCGCACATGCAGATGTTGCGAACGCATCCAATCGGATCGACGGAGACACCATCGATGTCCTTCTTGCTGCATTCCTTCGCGTACTTTTGTGTAAAAATCACCGAGTTCGCTCTGATGAGCTATGGCAGGTTTTCCGAGAAAGAAAAGACACAAGATCATTAAAATCGTTGGAAATCTACGTTTGCATGCACCACAATCTCCTTTGAACCGACCTGAGCGAGCCTTCGCTTTGCCTAATGCTGCGTAAACATGACGCATGTTGAATGTGTTGAACGACTGCTCAGCAGATCAATAGTTGTCGTCGTAACAAACACTCCCACTCCGCAGGGCCGTGTCGATACAAACCGAAACACAGCACCATCGACCAGACGTTTGCATGTTCAATCAGGTTGTTTCAGAGAGACTCCTCTCAAATGCGTCGGTCACACTCTTCTAACAACCAACATGCGATGTGGAACAATCACACCCACGGAGACAATTCTCCAAAAAACACTGTCTACATTCGACTACCAGTACACACTGACATGTTTTGGTCTGGACATCTGTTTGCAATTCTGAGCTTTCCTTCCATTGCCTGGTCGAGATTCTAGGTTCTCCCCCGACAGCAAACTACGCTTCAGTGGCCCTCACTTCAATATTTGAGACAGTTCGCTTGTAGTAGCCATTAGGATGTCTTCCTAATGGAAGACATAGTGGCTGTTTTGACACTGTCGAGGATCGATCAGCGTTACTACACAAGGGACGAAAACAAGATACGTCCGTTTTCAGCAGAGCCTGGACGAAAGGATCCGGGATTCAGAGCTGTAGTTTTCAGAACATAGTAGCGGAATGCCAAAGGTTGCCGTCCACCGACAGCTTGAGCCAAGTATTGTACCATTGCGGTGATGAGAAAGCAGGAAAAAGCAACGCTCGTCCGACCAAACGGTTGTGCTGATGTTGTCGTGCCGCTGCGTAACCTTCATTTGGCAAGGCATGAGGTACAGCGACAGATGGTAAAAGCCCACGACATCGTATGCCCTATGCAATCGGCTGGATCCATAACCTTAGATTGAGCTGTGAATTTCGAAATGAAGTAAATCGTGATGTGGCAAACCAAATGTCATTTGCGATTAGAACCGTAGGCCACCAGCGAGTTTGTGTGAATGCAATGTATTGGGCTACCTACTGCGTCAGTCAAGCATCATCTTCAGTCATTTCTGCATGTGATCACAACGATGCCTCCGGCAACGCGACAGGAAGAGCTGAAACGTCAGTTTCGGCATCTTCAGTAACCGCGCTTTCGCTCAAAAGACCAGGGACAACCGTGAGAATGTCAGGGACCACCGAGAGGATATCCGGGACCACCGAGAGGATGTCAGGAACGACGGTCAAGACGTCTGGGACAACCGTCAGGGTGTCTGGGATCAGCGTCAAGATGTCTGGGAGTACCGTCAAGATGTCCGGGAGTATCGTCAAGATGTCCGGAAGTATCGTCAAGATGTCCGGAACCACCGTCAGGATGTCGGGGATCACCGTCAGGGTGTCTGGGATCAGCGTTAAAATGTCGGGGATTATCGTCAGGATGTCAGGGACTACCGTTACGATATCCGGAATGATGTCAGGAGAAACGTCCGTCTGGTCCGTCTTGTAAGCTGGGGCAGACAGGTAGTCGTCGTGGGCGCCATAAGCTTGATCGGATTGCTTGTACGGGTGGTTCTTTTCAGTCATGTGAGTCTGCTCAGCTGAGTAATCATTGTGAATCGAGTGAGAATGTTCAATCGGATGGGTCTGCTCAGCCGAGTACGTCTGGTGAGTCGAGTACACATGCTCCGACGGAAGAGCCTGCTCAGGTGAGTATGTCTGGTGAGTCAAGTACACATGATCAGATGGGTGAACCTGCTCAGCTGAGTAAGAATGCTGGTCAATCGAGTACACGTGCTCAGACGGATGAGTCAGATGAATTGGATGCGTCTGCTCATCCCCATAAGCATGCTCTGTTGAGTGCATGTATCCAGTCGAGTGGGAGTCTCCCGTAGAGTAAGCGTGTTGGGATGGGTACGCTTCATCAACTAGGTGATTCTGTTCAAATGAGTAGCCGTCTCCTGTTTGATAAGCTTCTCCAACATGGTCATCGATAGTGTCATATGCCTTGTGAATCGCGTGCGAGCCCGTCGTTTCGTGAGCCACGTGTATCTTTCCGCCCGGACCACCCACGGAAATGTAGGTGTCTTCGCAAGGCTCAGTAGGTTCAGCTTCATAGCCGTACCCGCCGTACCCGCCGTCCACGTGTTCTAGATCCGTGCTGTATCCTTCACCACCAGACTGGTAGTGATCGGACGTGCTGTCTGTTCTGTCATGGTGTTGCCAGTGGTGTCCAGACGCGGCGTCTTTGCTGTGATGGTGCTGACCGTAGTGATCCGTCGTTTCGTCACCAACCGCGTGCGTGTAGCTCTTGTCAACGGTGGGAGCTCCGTGGTCGCCGGTGCTTTCACCGTAGTTGGTAGTATAGGTCGTTGCGCCACCGTTCTCACCGGTTGCGTCAAAGTCAACCGATTCCTGGTTGACGCCCGTCGTCGTCATGGTTGTAGCACCATAGTTACCGTAAGTGGCACCATCCATCGTCGTACCACCAGCAGTGCCGCCGTGGCTATCGGTGGTCGTGCTGATACCCTCGTATCCTGTCGCAGTGACACCAGCAATTTCATCTGAAGCCACATCACAGTTCACACTGAGCGGCTCGTCCTGAGTCGGGTCGTAATCAGCGCCTCCAGCACTGTACACCGCCGCCGTTTCGGCATCTGCGGCAGAAGTGTATCCCGTATGAGGGAACGCGCACCCCCACGTGTCGTCCATCACGATGATGCACTGCGCATCAGTCGGGGCGACACACGCCGATCCGTTGTAGGATAGCAAGTATGGTTGGCAGTCAGCAGAAGCGACGTCTCCAGCCATCGGACAGCTCGTGCCCGCCGGCGCAGCTCTGTTTCCTGAGCATGACAAGCCGCGAGATTCCGGTAGCATATAGGTGGCATCGTGTTGCACGGAGATCGGGACGTCGGCGGAGGCAAGGGCCGAAACCAGGAGGCCGGCCAGGGCCAAGCGTTGTGAAGTCATCAGACGCTTTGAAGTGACGGTTGATGTGGTTGCCCGAGCGTTAATCGGGGAATGAAACTACGAGCTGCTGCAGTTCACACACTATGGTCCGTTACGGCAGAACAAAGGGGTCAAGCGTAGAAAAGGAAAGTCTAATGAATCATGTCATGATGGTTTGCGAGGCGTTTCGATCCGGTAAAACGATGTTTACAGTCTCGCATGTAACTCGTGTCAATCGTTTCGAGAAAGTCTCGGTCTTTAGAGCGTTTTGCCCGCATAACTATTCGGCTCCGCAAATCTAAATGTGCCGCTTTCCGAGTCGAAAAGTGGCTGTAGGCCGGACGAAGAGTCGCGTAACCTGAAAGGCGAAAACTTTGTTGAGGCTTTCTCGAAACGGCCATGTAAAGGACATGCTGGACCTGGATCTGTCGAGCACGACTGGGTGCCTGTCGGAATTGAAGATGCCACCGATTTAAGATCGCATCGTCGACCTCAGTATTAATTGCCCAGCGACATGCTAACATGGCTATTTCGCTTCTCGGTAGGAAGATTGTTTTGCGAGCCCAAAGGGTGAGACTGAGCGCATGTTGCTAGAACATACAGAACTCGAATTATTTGCGACTGAATTACTTGTATTTAAGGACGAGCTCCAGAGCTTGCTAAATCCCCAATGCAACATCACGTGCTTACCAAGTATTCTTGCAATTAAACTGTCTTTTTTGCTAAATGTTTTTAAATTTTGCTCGTATCTCCTAAATTAAAACGACCTAGGCCAGAATCATTTTCGAGGCAAAGGATTTTAATATTTCAGGTTCATGCGTTCATTTCTACACCTTTGTAA